TATGTTGGAGGCTCCTGTAATTCGAGGTTTTAGATTCTCGGTTTGTGTACCGTAAAACACCACGCAAACTGTTCCAAAGCTACTGGTTTTCGGTTGCCATGAGACATACTGCCAAACTAGCAGATTGCGGCGACCCAGCTGAATCCAGATGTTTAACCAGAGGCTTGCAGCGTGTGCGTAAGTTCCAGGACATTTCTCCTGTGTAATTATTCTTGTGTAGTGTAATTATGTAGGTTTGAGTGCAAGTCCCGATAGAAGGATCATTTTTGCCGTAGGCAGAGCTCGAATCTCCCTTGTAGGGAATGGCCTTTCCCTGCAACCCCAGGGTCTACCACACATAGGTGGCGGCAGAAGCCGCGAAGTTCTGAATGATTTGTTTTCGAGTTTTTCGGGCAAACCTGCGCGGGCCTGCGTGAACTAAGGATGGTGCAAATGCACGCCGAAATGTCGGCGGTGTGTCCGAGGTACGTCTCAACCACCGGCTGGTGGCTTTACTGAAGAAGCTTTGGTGCTTAGGGTTCCATATAGGATTGAACAAATACCCTCAGCAAGAGCCTAAGCAAGTGCTTATGACAAGTGGCCCTGTAGCCGTGATTGACGATGGGGCGGGACGGTGGGGGGGGGGGGGGGGGGGGATCTCAGACAGTTTTAGGGTGGCAGTTGCCGGCTGCTTCAACACACGCTGCTTTGAGCGCCCGATTGGGTCAGAGGGTCGCCACCCTAACCCCGAAACCCTTCTTGGTGCTTGTCCCAAAGCTGTGGCTCCCAAAGCCCCCCAGCCGCTGTCCCAAGAATTCAAGTGCTCCACTCATCCCCTACGCCCTAGACCATCCTCAACACACGTAAGGTTTGGGGCTGAGAGTTTGAGGCTTGGGGTTTAGGCGGTTTAGGATTTGGAGCTTGGGGTTTCCCGGTAATTACACTCATCAAGTGAGGTCGGGCGGCAGAAATACGCTGCAAGCCACAGTGCCATTCCTGGCAACCAGGCACGGTCTTTGGCTTTGAAGGGCTTAGTGACTTATTGTGCACCTTCGTGTGCGTTTGCTAAAGAACCTCAAAAAATATGCGGTAACACCCCCCATAGCATCCTTAAAAGCAACTCCTTTTCAATTTGTTTGCGGGGTTCTTCAGCAAATCGTAGTCCAGCGTGCTTTACAAGATAGGGTCTGTTCAAAGTTGAGGGCTGAGGCTTCCTCATTAGGTTGGAAGGGTTTTGGTACAAGCTGACATGAAGACTATAGGGGTCGGGACTAGTATTCCCTTGTGGTCCCTATATAGTTCTCCTATAATAACCCCCCAAAGAATAGTATCCCTTAAAGGCTACTCAGGGGGAACCCGAGGCTGTTCTTCCTTGTCAGCATCCTTTTGTGGGGAATCGCTCCCGGGATGGCAGCTTCGAAGCTGCCACTCTTGATGGCGCAGCTGGGTTCGGTTCAGGGTTTAGAGGGTTTGGCAATGAAGCTCGTGGCCGTGCGCGCCGCGCCCTTTCCGCCCAAAGATGAGGCGAAGGGCTTCACCACTCGACATGTATGAAGTCGGGGTTTAGGATTGAGTGGGGAGGGGGGGGAAGGGGAGGGGGGAGGACTGAAACTAAAGCCGTGAACACCCCCCACAGACACACTAGCAGACCCGAGCATCCGAAGCAAAAGGCGTGATCACTCGTCAAGCCCTCAAGCTCTGCGCCTTGCGGATGAATCCTAAACCCTAAATCCTGAACCCTAAACCCTAAACCCCAAACCCTAAACCCTAAACCCTAAACCCGAAACCCTAGATTCCGGTCCTGGAAGGAGCACATGCCCAGGGAGGAGTTCACCAACGAGGCTGCGGAGCCTATGGAGCGGCTGGGCTTCAGGCATCAGGGTGCTTAGGGTTGTTTTTTTTTTGTATTTGGGGTTTAGGGTTTAGGGTTTAGGGTTTAGGGTTTAGTGTTTAGTGTTTAGGGTTAGGGTTTAGGGTTTAGGGTTTTGGGGCCTCTAGGGTTTAGGGCTTAGGGTTGCTTTATGGGGTTCATTGTGTGTAGGGTTTAGGGTTTAGGGTTTTGGGTTTAGGGTTTAGGATTTAGAGCTTAGGGTCTAGGGTTTAGGGTTTAGGGTCAAGGGCGTAGGGCTGAGGGTTCTTCTCGGATGCCAAGGCCTATTCAGGTTTTTCGGGCATGGGTTGTTCTTTGCTGAATGATTAGGGTTTGGGAGCCTAGGGCAGCAGCCCGATGTCGTTAAGATTGAGGGCTTGAGATTGAACATTGGCAGCTGGTATGTTGGATCGCTTCTGTGCTGATGTTCTTCACTGTAAACCCTAAACCCTAAACCCTCGAGCCAAAACCGCTTAGATGTTTGGGGAGGGTTTTGCCGGGACCTCAGACCATTGGGGTCTGCGCAACTACTGTCACGGATAAAGGAGAAGGCGGGTTTAGGGCTTAGGGTTTAGGGTTCAGGGTTTACGACTTCGGATTACTGACATGGGTGCCGCCATGTCCAAGGAGTCCCGCATCGCAGAAAATGCCAAATTCACTGGTGGACAAGCGACTCACGGCCTGATTCAGCTACGCAAAGCACCGCCGCTCCCAAAACCGGAACCGTCAGCCCGAAACCCTGAACCCTGGTTCCTCAACCCTAAACTTTCCTGCTCGGAGCCTTGCGGGGCATCACTCCTAGGGGTTCCGAATCTGGAGGAGTAGTACGACTACGACCAGTTATTATTGTCATCTTCTTTATTATTACTATTACTACTACTACGACGACGACGACGACGCCGACTGCCACCACCACCACCACCACCACCACCACCACCACCACCACCACCACCACCACCACCACCTGCCACTGCCACTGCCACTGCCACTACCACTACCACTCGATGATGACGACGAGGAGGAGGAGGAGTACGACGAGTACGACGAGTAGTACGAGTATGAGTACAAGTATTCGTGTTCGTATCTGAAGTAGTATCCTGTGTACACCCATATTGTTACACTTTTTTTCTGCATGGCTTGTTGCTCCCCCCTGCTGCTCACAAGGAACCACAGTGGAATCCAAAGCTTCGCAGCCCGGTGGGTACGCTTCCGGCAGGAGCCGTTTGCGCTGTTTGGAGCTTTATTCTGCGAGTTCAGGGTCTCGAATAGAATGGCGTTGCAAGTCCTCCAGACTGGCGACATGGTGCGAGGTCGATCTGCGGTATCTTGGTCTCAAGACGAGAATGTGATGATGTAAGCAGGTTGGAAGCTCCTTGAGGATGCAAACAACGGTGGTAACCTAATGTCGAGGCTTCGAGAGGTCGTTTAGATGCCTCATGCAAGATTCATCCAGACCGTGATTTTCAATGCATCACGCTCCCTGGCACAACCTATTCAAGCAGATAACGCAGAGCCTTTTTGCTGAGTAGGTACCTTTATAACCTTTTGGCACAGCAAAACTCGCTAAAGTCCAAAGGATAAGCCATTTTCCTTCGAAGCTCAACAATCGGAAATCTCACCATTGGTGACATCTCTGCGGTGACAACAACGGACATGGTAGATGCGGGTGGAGGAGTATATGTTTCGAACTTGTCATCTTTTTGTGCTATAGTTTTGGTTTTATTGTTAGTGAACGGTCGATGTAGTGAAGATTATTGTGGTAAACGTTGTCATGCATCCAGACACAGCCTTCCGCACGTTTCCAAGTCCCAAGCCGAAGGGGCTCCAATTCCGGACCCTGTATCTTTGAAACCCTACACCCTGTACGCCCTAAACCCTAAAGACTAAAGCTCTGTACATCCGCACAAATAAGGTAATATAACAGGGGACCCAAATTAAGGGCCCATACTTCGGATCCCCTAGAAATCCGAAGAAGCCTCTGCAGGAGCATGATGTGGAGGGAAATGCTTACCGGTGCGACCCGGTCGCTGGGGGCGGACCTTTCGTTCCACCTCCAAGGTCGCGCCCTTGGCTTTACCCTAAACTCTGAACCCTCAACCCCCGGCAGGCTTCGTAGTTTTGAGGCTCGCACGGTTTCTCAGCTTAGAGGTTTTCCGGGGCTTATAGGGCGTATATGGAGTTTAGGACTTACAGGGTGGAGGTGTTGGATGATTTGGTTCTGGGTGCGCAGGTAGCTGCTGACCGTGGCAGTAGTCGTTGACGCTTGCAGCTGTCATCACAACAGGCTTGCGACATCTTGCGACGTGGTTTGTTTTTAGGTGTCAAGGTTGCTGGCAGGTCCCAGACTTAGAGGTCTCAATGATTCAGGCTTACCATCCGCCTATTACTCTACACCTTGTAACCCTCAGCCCTGACCCCGGTACTGTAGGAGCCTTAATAATTAGAACAGGGTTTTGGGGGTATGCGGGCGAAGGCCTGTCGAAGTCAATAATTAAAGAAGATGTCATCTGCATCCTCAGCAATAGCTCAGAGAGAGCAACGAACAAATCTACAACTTGCTGCAGATGGAACAGGTTTTTTTTTTTGGGGGGGGGTTATTCTAGTATAATTCTGAAGGGACTATAAGGGAGTATTGTTGGTAATTCATTATTCCGACCCCTATATATTTTCTTGCTGAGCATGGGCAAGCCGACCCTGCTCGAAGGCAAAAAGTTCGCCTGCCTTCGCAAGTGTTGCCTTCGACTGGTCGCCCGGCCCCGTTGTCAGTCTGGGTTTTGGGCTTTGGGTTTAGGGCTTAGGGCTTTCGGCTCTAGGCTCTAGGCTCTAGGCTTTAGGCTTTAGGCTTTAGGCTTTAGGCTTTTAGGCTTTTAGGCTTTTAGGCTTTTAGGCTTTTAGGCTTTTAGGCTTTTAGGCTTTTAGGCTTTTAGGCTTTAGGCTTTAGGATCCCCCCCCCCCCCCCCAACTCTACTGTCCAAGCCCTGCTTCATTGAGAACTTGTGGGCCTTCAGACTTTGCCAGGGCTTAGGGTTCTGGAATTGAGGTTCAGGGTTGAGGGTTGAGGGATGAGGGTTCAGGAATTGAGGTTTAGGGACCCGAAGCCCCAGACCCGGCCCGCTGGGCATTCGAGGTTTCCAACAAATGGTTTGACTACATGATGGGGCTGATCATCGTGGCCAATGCCGTCACAGCTTCCTGACAGAGACCCTGTTACCACTATTTGCTTAAGAACACCAAAACATAAGCTTCTCGCTGCCCTAAGCCTGTGAGCCATTGAGCTTGCAGTCTCCCAGAGTGGTTTAGTCTGGTTCTTCGCGTCCCTTAGAAGTAGGAGCGCTTCCTTCTGTGTGCTGGATGGGCAGCCTGTGACGCCGTTGTTTGTGGATGCATGAGAACACCAAAAAGTTAAAATAGGAATAATACCTGTATTACCTTACAAGGAAGAAAATGTTTATTTGGTTGGGGGTTCTGAAGCAGTTCGTAGGTTGACCCTGTGCAGAAGGGCACAGGCGCTCAGCGATCCCAGCAGCCAGGTGTCTCTTGCTTTCTTTCTGCTTAGGATTGAGGGTCTCTAGGGGTTTAGGGTTTAGGGTATGGGGCTTGGGGAGTGCAGGGTTTGTGGCTTAGGGTGTCTTTAGAGCATTAGTGTTCTTGAGCAATAACTCAGCGAGGCCGGTTTCAAATCTCGCTGCTGTCAACCCTCAACAGATGCCCTTAAGCCCGACCAGGAATAACCCGAATTGGCCGTAACCCTAAGCCCTAATACCTACAAACTCTGAATAACCCCAAATCCTAAACCCTAACCCGTTGGGGTGGGGCGCCCTGCCTCCGAAATCAACGGAGCATGCTGCGGCCGCAGGGTCGCGGGGCTTAGGCCAGCTCCCCTCCAAGCCTCTAAACCTTAAGGGTGCCCTGAGACCCTAAACCCTGAACCCTAAACCCTAAACTGCCCAAACTCTACCGAATCTCTAGAATTCAAAATCAAGATTCGGTGCTGAATTTGCCGTCTTTGTTCTGCAGCTTGCTTCCTTCTTGGTAGCTCAGTGGTACCCTTTTCCCTTTTTGCGGTTCTGGGTTCCCTTATAAAGTACCCAAAACGGCGCCCTTATAGTAATACGGTTACTGGGCCCTTCCATTCTCACAACCACCATAACTTGCTCAGTGTTTTGTGGAGGACAAACAGGGCGGAGGAGGGGGGTTGGGTTGGACTTCTGACAAGTGGCTTTGCAACAGAAAGAAAGTTTAGCCGAGAACAGCCCCCCCCCCCCCCCCCCCAAACCCTAAACCCTAAACCCAAATGCAACAGTTCATGGGTCATTGTTTGGGCGGGATTTGGGCCTTGGGCCCGCAGGCAGCCTCTCTTTGGATAGGAGGAGGGGTTTCCCACCCCACGGCCCCGGACCCAAACCGAAGCCCCAAAACCGTAGCGTTGCGGGCGGAAGACGATGCCGTGACGCGCCCCTAAACCCTAAGCCCAGAACTTCACAGGCCAAGGGGGCGATTTCAGCATGTGTCGGTGATGAATCACCAGGTTGGCTACGAGATCCAGGCATCTCTCACCCAGATCGACGCCGGGATGTACTGGTTCTGGCTTGACTTTGCCTTTGCGGCTTGGCTTGACGTTGTCATGGTCCGAGGCATGCCGAACGAAGAGCTAGTTGACTAGTTCCGGGTGAGCGCGCCGTGGGAATCCTAAAGCCATCTGCAACGCCACGTGTAGAAACTCAATCTTTGCGCACCGCACGCACATCATGATGAAAACGGGGCACTGACTCCCGAATCCCTATAAAAAGAAACTCCCGAGAACAAGTTTTCTGCCTAAACCATGGGCAGAACTTCGGGCAGCCAGATGCTAAACCCTAAGCCCCCAAACTCCTCAAGTACAGCCAGGAATATCTGCTTACAGAGACCCAGAGCGTGACGCGAATTCTGAGCAACGCCCCCTCGCGGTCACCAAATGATGGTACTTTTGTTGGGGGGTGCCGCCAATTGCTTAGGATTCCGGGTTTAGGGTTCAGGGCTTCGGGCTTAGGGCTTAGGGTTTAGGGCCTCATGCGCATGAAAGCGGCCTTTTTCGAAGTGGGGTCAATCTGCTCCCGCCGAACGCAACACATGTATGGGTGAGGCAGGGAAGGGATTCTTGGTTCAGGCTTGTGGGTGTCGACAGTGCAAGATTGTGGGCTGCATAAGCAGCAGAGCGGAGCTTTAGGAAACGCTGTCAAGCCCTAAGCCCTAAGCCAGAAAGAAATTAGCCCTCAGTCAAGCAATGAACTTATGCAGATCAGATTGAACCGAGACCTGATACTTCGTTGTGTGTTGAGGTTCAGGGTGTACGGTTTGGGGTTTATGACTCAAGGCGCCACGTGCTTCGTGGTTGAAAGGCGTTCGGAATGTCGGCGTTAACGTTTGGCTGATAAGGCTACAAGGGCTGTTGGAGTATAGGGGTTAAAGGCCGGGTTATGATTGTACCTCAAGCCGCCTTGAACAACCCAAACGTCAACAAAATGCAACCATACTGACATACGTGCCCACGAGCCTGCAAGTAGGTAGTTGTCTACCTCATCGAGCTGGTCATGCGACTGCTGGCGTGGGGGCGAAAATGCTTCAAGGACCAACCCAGAAATGTTTGCTCCAAATGTAGGCTACAGTGGCTTTGGCTTACAGGGATGTTTATAGGGTTTAGGGTTCATAGATTTAAAGGGATGCTTATAGGCTTATAGGGATGTTTATAGGGTTATAGGGTTTAGGGTTGCTTGCGGGATTTGCATGTGTGGGTTCCTGCACCCCCATTGTACGTGAGCTCGGTCTCGTTGTAAGTCTGGCCCTAAACCCCATGTCCGAACTCTACCGTCTGATTCACGACCCTAAAACCTAAACCCTAAGGCCCTTAAAACCATGAATCGAACCCATTCCGAAAGAGAGGTCCCCTTCTCACGCTTGGCTCTAGCTTTCACGCACCCTTTGTGCATTGTCAGCACCAAGGTGGCACCAAGCAGCAGCTCCTCGTCCTCGTCGTCCTCGTCGTCCTCGTCGTCGTCGTCGTTGTCGTCGTCGTTGTCGTCGTTGTATAGTAGGAAGGTGCTTGTTGTCGGTGGTGGATTTGCTTGGTTTGCCGTCATTGGGATGACAGACGTCTTCCGAAAGATGCGAGAGGAGCACACAGCAAACACATTTTCATTCGGTTTCTGCCAACCCTTGCATGAGGGCATACCGCAAGGGGCCACAACGACTACTTTAATCACGCTTGGACCTCCTGTGGAATAGTCAGATCTAGCAACCGCACGTAATGTACAAAACATCGCAGAGACACGGCCACAGTCATTTGAAAATGGTGAATGCTCACATTGTCAAGGCACTGTTTGGTTTCCACGCGGTTTGAACCCCAAGACACCAAATTCCTTGTCCACTCTCATTTTGTTTCTGCAGTGGTATACTCGAGACTGCTCTCTTGCGACACGCCGCCCAACCACCCGTGCAAAGCTTCCATAGGTGAATACATGGTATCTTACCCTATCCAGAAAATAATTCGTTGTGGTGGGATGCGGGTCGAGGCATCAAGTTTTGGATGGCTGGGTGGACGTATTTCCCTTGCGGCAACGTCTCGCAATATTCCAAGTTGAAGTAGTACTTGTCTTTCCGCTCTGGCGACGTTCAACCCCAAATCCTAACGCTAGGGCTATAGGCACCTCGCCCATGGAAATGCCCAGTGCTGCAGAAGAACCAGAAGGAGAATCAGAATAGCTTCAACTCCCCAAACCTTGCTTCCCGCTTTTTGACTCTAATTGCATCAGATACTTCTAGGCAAACCCAAACGCGGATGCCCAGTAGTGCCCTGAATGCCTCTTCTTGTTGGGTGAGATAGGATTATAAGCCCCTAATGCGACACCCGTGTCTGCGTATTGGCCGTCTTCCCCCCCAGACGGTAAGCCCCAAAACCCCTAAACCCTATACAAACCCCAAAGCCCTAAAGCTAAACCCTAAACCCTAAGCCCTAAACCCTAAGCCCTAAACCCTAAACCCTAAACCCTAAACTCTAAACCCTAAACCCTAAACCCTAAACCCTAAACCCTAAGTGAAGGACGGCTGGTGCATCCTCGACATGATCCTCGTCTCCATAGGGCTCATGAGCCTCATCACCGAGCGCATCGGTGAGAAAGTCCAGGCGCGCAGTTAAGGGTTCAGGGGTCTAGGGTTTAGGGTTTAGGGTTTAGGGTTTAGGGGTTTAGGGGTTTAGGGGTTTTGGGGTTTTGGGGTTTAGGGGTTTAGGGGTTTAGGGAATTTAGGGAATTTAGGGAATTTAGGGAATTTAGGGTTTAGGGTTTTGGGCTTAGGGTTAGGGTTGAGGTGTTAGGGTGTAGGGTTTAGGGTTTAGGAGGGGTAAGGATTTCGGGCTTGTGGTTTTGGGATTTCGGGGTTTGCATTTTGGGGTTTAGGGTTTCGATCTTGGATTTGGGCTTTGTTGTTTCGGACCAAGGGTTATTCAGGGTTGTTCTAACACGGTTCCATCAAAGTGGTGCAACTATGTGATCACGTAGTTATGGAAACTCGGGTCACTAGAGTTGTCTGCAAACCCTTCAACAAGAACAAAATGGACGAAGCATTGGGGCACATGAGCGCGCTCACATGCCCCTTTAAGCGTATAAAACCCTAAACCCTAAACCCTAAACCCTAAACTCACTAAACCCCCGGGATATCTAGAGATGCGTCTAGACAGCAGTCAGCCCCCCGGGGCCGAAGCAGCAGTCAGCCCCCGAGGTCGTCAACGACCCGAGGGCTGACCCTCAAACTCGACAGGCCCCACACAATCTGATTGACCAGACCCCTTTGAGCCCTTGACCCACTTTATGAGTCCGATGAACAAACCCTAAGCCCCAAACCCGTAAACCCAAAACCCTGAACCCCAAACTCTAAACCCTAAACAGACAGGAGCTGGAGTCGATGATGGTCGTGCGCTCCCTGCGACTGCTGCGACTCATTCGGGCTCTACGTCTGCTAAAGCAGCTCCTAGCCGCACCGGATACAGGGTTTAGGGGGGCGGGTAGGGGGGTGGTAGGGTGTTTGGGGGGTAGGGAGGGCTAGAGGGGGAGCGGGGGTAGGTGGGTAGGAGAGCCTAGAAGCAACTTCCGATCATGTGTCCCATTAGAATCCTCAAACTGTTTTGTCTGGTTTTGACCGGCATATTATCATACTTATGTCGGCTACCGTCTCCAATCCCCCTCAGGCCCACTCAACTCTCTTGTCCACTGGACCCCCTAAACCCAACATGAGGCATAAATCCTGAGCTCTAAACCCTAACTCCAAGCCATTTGTTGTTTTTTGCGTTGCTTGCCTTGCGGGTACAGCACCTTCGAAGCTCTAGCGAGTTGGAGCTCCGGTGGCAACTTGTGAAGCCCAAATTGGGATGTTCCCCCTTCTACGAACAGTCCTTAATAGGGGGTTATAGTACCCTCAATTAGAATCCCTATTAAGGAGCTGTCTTCTACGAACAGTCCTTAATAGAGATTATAGTAACCCCCGATGATACTCCCTATTAAAGGAGCTGTTCGTACAAGGGGGAACATCTCAAAGCCCAAACACTAAATCGCAAAGCGAAGCCCCCGACCCCTCAGCCCTCAACCCTGCAAGCTCGAAGCTCCTGTTCCGAAGTCTTCGTGGCTCTACAGGGGAGCGGCAACAATTCTCAATTTGTGGCCTTTGTGGCCGCGGGGGGAGGGGGGGGGGGGGGGGGGGTTTTGGGTAAGCATGCTGGTGGCAGAAGGTAAGCACTCCACGGGACGGTGGACAGTTTAGGGGCCTGTAGGGGGCCCCTCAGCCCTGAAACCTAGACTCCCCTAAACCCTCAACCCTCAACCCTAAGTAAGCCCTAAACCCGCTCCAAGCCGAACGTGTTGGGGCAGAGGTTCCGCACCGTTTGGAGACTTGTGAACGGTCTGCTGACGTCCGCAAACGCCATGCTGTCCACCCTGGTGCTGGTTGCCTCCTGCCAAAATTGGAGCCTAAAGTTCGCGACCAAAACTATCCCTTTAACTATCATCCTTGTATGACCTAAATACATGAATACATATATGTATATGTATATATATATACACTTAAACACATTTAAACTTTGTGAACAAAACCCCATTCTATAAGTTCTTGCTGTTTGTTCTTGCGGGGGGTGGGAGGGCCTTGGGGTTTCAAATGCTTTCTGGTCCCATCGCTCCCCTCCGAAAAAAACCAAGGAGCACCATGAGAAACAAGGGTTTAGGTTTTAGGGCTTAGATTTTCCTTACATGCGCTTGAATTTCTATCCACATATACATACATGCGTGCATAGAGACGCTTGTGTGTGATGTCTACAAAACAATCGTGCATAGTTCTACAGGTCTGCCAAACCCTAAACCCTAACCCCTAAACTCCCAACTTGCCTCTTGCAGAGCACACTCAGCCTTTCGTGGCCCACGCCTCAGGTGCTGTCCCTCTACATTGCAGCCTGCCTGGGCATCGAGATCATCACCAAAGACTCGCATCTGACCTCCGGAGCTGACTCGCGGCAGCACTCGTTGTAGGGCGCTCCGGGGCATGTTTTCGGGCAGTTCGGAGTTCCCTAAGAAGAGCGCCAAGCATGCGTCTAGGTTACTAAGAGGAAGAATAGCGGAGCAGGGATGTAGTCGTATCCTACCTACACAGTCGGCTTTGGTTCTTGAGGTTGGTGCTGATGGTTGAGAGTTTAGGGTCGTTTTGGGCTTGGGACTCTGTCTCATTCTGCGTTGCCTGGTCTAAGGCTTCGGTTTGGGGCTTTGGTCTTTGGGTTCTTGAGGTTTGCAGGCTTAGGGTTGCAGCATGAGCCATATCCATCCGTGAAGATGAGTGTGAAGCCGTTGCTGTGGAGCCTTGTCTCGCCAGCTTCCCTGTACCAGCGAGCTTCCTCCAGTGAAAGAGCGATGCAGAAAGTCCGAAACTCCACCTCCGCCATGAACCACAGCATGGGCGTAGATGGATTCTGGAGTTGTGTTCTACGCCCTTGAGGTTTTGGGGTTTAGGTTGGAGGGGCTGCCCTAAACCCTAAACCCTAAACCCGAAGCCCTAAACCCTAAACCTTAAACCCTAAACCTCAAACAGTGTATCTTGCTGGCCTCTGAGGAGACAGCACCCATTGTGAGCCAGTACTTTGGTGATTTGCCCAGCACCCTGCATCTTGTCAGAATCGAAGGCCTTTTGGCTAGGACCCGGAGTAGGCCCGCATTCCCTTTTTGTTCGGGTTGGGGTTCCCTTATAATCCCCTTGAACCCAAAAAGGGTGCCCTTTTATTCCTAGGTTACTCCTGGGTCTAGAGGCGCCTTTTGTCAGATTTCCATGGCAAGGTTTAGGGGCTGGGTTTAGGGTTTAGGGTTTCGGGTTTAGGGTTTAGGTTTAGGGTTTAGAGTTTAGGGTTTAGGGTTTAGGGGTTTCGGGCTTAGTATCAGGGGAGCCTGATGTAGAGCGTCTTGCCTTGTTGACAATCACGTGCTCACAATGGGTTTCTGCTGCTGGTCACATGCCCGAGCACTGCTCCGCCCCTGGATAGCGTTCGGCAAAACCATCCCACAGAAGTGTGTGTGTGTGTGTGTGTGAGTGAATGTCAGCCTACTTCAGCCTACGCTTGCATTATTCTTCGCTGTTCTTCCAGTAGCAACAGTCTTCAACAGGAATCTGGGTCAGATTGAAAGGATAGCCGTGAATTTGCTTGCTGCGGCAACTGCCGCTGTAAGGGGGGGCAGCAAGCCTAAGCCCTAAACCCACCATGTTTAGGCTTCGTGGCGTTACTCATCGTGTTCGGGATCTTCTTCCTTGATACGACTCTGCTGCTGAGGAATCTTGTTAGATTTCCCGGACAAGTCGAACTAACCCCCTGAATCCGAAACCTTAGAATCATACGGCGCGTGTACGATAAACCTCCCAAACCCGAAACCCCCAAACCGCTAGCCCCAACCCTAAACCCTGCCCTAAATCCTAAACCTACCCTGAAGCCCAAACCCTAAACCCCGACCCCCGAACCCCAAACCCCAAACCCAAACCTCCCAAACCCTAAACCCTAAACTCTACACCCCAAACTACCCTAAACCCTAAACCCTAAACCTCCCAAACTCAGGCTCACATTGACTGCTTTTGTGACGCTCGACTCCATTGCACCGATCTACTCGCCACTTATAGCCAGGAAGCCGGAACTCGCCGGGTACCTTGGACCCACAGGTTCGGTCGTTTTGGGGCTACAGGGTTCTAGGGTTTAGGGTTTCAGGGTTTCGGGGTTTCGGGGTTCTATGATTTCAGGGTTCTAGGGTTTCACGGTTCGGTCGTTTTGGGGTTTCAGGTTGGGATGCTCCCCCTTCTTCTAGCAGTCCTTAATAGGGGCCATAATCAGGGGCTCTAGCACTTTCGGATCAGCTCTTCTGCGCCCTGATCTAACCAAACCCTAAGACCCTAAACCCTAGGCCCTAACTACTCGACCCCGAACCTTAAACCTTCAGATGTTGCATGGAATAGTTTCGGGTTTTTTGGGGGGTGAACGAGCTGGATCTGTCGGGTTATTGTGCTGATTACACGTTGCTGCACTCAGGTACTTCTTCTTCATCGTCCTCTTTGTGTCCATCGCCCTGATGACACTTGGCCCCACTCAAGCACGGGACCTAGGGCACTTTATGCACGTTATGGCTCAGATATACAGTAACCTCTCAGCAACAGACCCAGCAGAAGTCTTGAGCTTCACCCTTTTCAACCTTGGAGCCTCAAGCCGAAGCCCGCCCGAAACGCTAGAAGGCATTCTGACTTGGCTTGCAGATGCAGAACGCAAGGTTGTTGCAGCGGACTCGGCCCGAAAATTGACAGAGCTTGTAGTATGATTAGCCCTCAAACCCGAAAGCATTTCCGGCACCTCTTGAACACAGCTAGCCGTTTCTGGACCGCAAAATGTCTTTGTCTCTGGTTCTCTGTCGCAGGTGCTCCTGCAGCAACTGCAGCCTCTGAAAACAACCAAAGCCATCCCATGACCACGCCCGCAAGGTTCCACCTTGCTTCTGCAACAAAGCTGGACTTGGTAAAGCTCAAAAGCTTTCGCCAGGAATCTGGTTACGGCTGTACTGGTGGAGGGTGCCTTAGCCAATGCCTCGGCAGACAAGGCGCGATTTGCAGCATTTCATATGTTTGTTCCCTTTGTGGACATGTATGTCTACTGTTACCATGCAGTGTGTGCGTATATATATATATACATACATACATGTACATGCAACCCTAAAGCCTAAACTCTAACCCTAGACCCTTGCAGGGTATAGGCCTTACAGGGTTTATGGGGCTCACATGTCCACCCCAGGGTGCCCGCTGTATGACTCTGGCTTGGGGGCACTGGAAGGTCGATGGGTAGTTAAGAGCTCTTGTGGGGGCAAGCAGCTATCACACATAGTGTTCGCCTACGTGCACCACAGAAGTACGTATCCCTACACCTTGCAGACCAAGCCAAGCCATCTTCAGCAACATCTTAGCAGTAGTGCGAAATTCTTGTCTAGGCCTGGAGATTGTGGGAGAGTACCCCCTTGCTGTAGCAACGATAGCCAAGACACTCAACATTTAGTTTAGTCTCAGAACCCCAACTTTCTGAGCATCTAGGGCCTGCGGTGTGCTGTGAAAGTGCTGTTACAGTGCCTGACGCGCGAAAGCCCAACACCTCTAAGTCAAGGAGAACAGCTTCAAACAGGATGGAGCTTCTTACCATTAAGGCATGTTTGGCTCAGGAGCCTGAACCCTCACCCCCCTATGGGCAAGACCCTGAACCCTAAACCCCAAACCCTAAACCCTAAACCCTAAACCCTAAAAGACGCCAGGAGATGGAACGTATGGACCTGAGAGAGAAGCTGCGTAGCGAGATGCCGAGGCTGTGGAGGGCGGGGGAGGGGGGGGCGGGGGCGGAGTAAAAGCTGCAAAGCCCTAAGCCCTAAAACCGCTGAATTGAACTTTCCAAAGCTCCTCTAGAATTATAGAATAACCCTAAACCCTAACCCTGAAACTGAACCCTAATTGGGTTCAGACTTAAACTTCTGACTTGGGGTGCAGGGCATCCTCGGAAAAGTAGTCATGGTGGCTTCCGTCGACATGTAGGAATTTTGGGGGCTTACACGAAAACACGGGATCCCTAGTAGAGACCCCCAAATTGTAGGATTTCCTTATAAGGGCTCCAATGAGGTACCCCTAATTTCGGAAACCCCCATCTGGAGCTGGCAGTTTCTAGGCGATTTTAAGCTGCAAGGGATAATCGATCATAGAGGCCACAAAGAGGGGGGAAAAGTTTGTTTAGGGTGTCGGTTCGTAAGTAGGGTTTGAAGTTTAGGGTGTCGCAGGGTTTGGGTTACAGGGTAGGCTACCCGAAACCTGCGTCCAGACGCACCTTACAAACAGTGTGGGCACCCGAAGCCATCCAAGCCCCCTAACCCTGCCCTAGGGTTTAGGGTTTAGGGTTTAGGGTTTAGGGTTTAGGGTTTAGGGTTTAGGGTTTAGGGTTTAGGGTTTAGGGTTTAGGGTTTAGGGTTTAGGTCCCAGTGCCACCGAAGTCGTCAGCCCGAGCTCGAGGGTTGAGGGGTTAGGGTTTAGGGCTTATAGGGTTTACAGTAAGACATCCCAAAACACACAAAGAGCCGAGCCCAAGAAAATCCCTCAACCCTCAGGCTCTCGCAGATCTTTGATGACATCGACAAGGTCGCTCGGGCAAGCGCAAATCATTGATTCAAAGGTTTTTGGGTTTAGGGTTTAGGGAGCTGATCATAATCTTACTATGGCGCATATTTGGGACTCTAAACACGTTGGGTTCCTTTCATTAGGAAGAAGAGCAGTTAGACTCTCTTTTGTCAATAAACCCTAAGCGCTAAACCCTAAACCCTAAACCCTAATCTCATGAGCGCTAAACCCTAAACCCGAAACCCTAAACACTAAACCCTCTTCATCTCATGAGGTGGTTGCTTGCGGGGATGCCGCACCTTTTGTTCAACAGCCTGTGTTCGTAGGGAACTTAGGGTCGCAAAGTATACCTGGAGTGTCTACTGTAGTCCCTTCTGCGGCTAGCTATAGGGGATTCGAGTATACTACCCCAAGAAGGTACTACTAGGAGCCTCTAGGTAGCTACTATACAGCGCGTTTTGGGTCGAAGTACCGCTTCTGGGTATTCATGAACCCTTTGAGGTTACCTTTCGAACATGTTCTGATGATTTGCGAGCTAGCATGGCCGCGGGGGTCCCTCAACCCTGAACTCACTAACGCTAGGGCTTTGGGGCCTAGGGCTTTGTTCTTTTAGGGTTTCTGGTTTAAAGGTTTGGGGAAACAAGTGTTTTCTCAGTTGTGCTTGCATGCGTGCATCCGGTGCATGCGGTGCATGGGTGCATGCGTGCCTGCGTGCATGAGTGTGCATACGTGCATACGTGTGCATGCGTTCATGCTAGTGTGCATGCCCGCATGCCTGCAAGCACCTGTGCGTATGTGCGTGTGTGCGTGTGAGCCATACCAAGCCAATCCGCGAAACCCTCAACCCCCCTCACACAAATACATGGCATCTTCCCCCCCTCCCCGAACACTGGAGGCACACGACTGAACTTTGGTGATGATGGGGGGGGGCACGGCGTGGAGCGGGAAGCCTGAAACCCTCCACAACCGAACACCTTCAACCCATAGCTCTTAAACTCTAAACCCGAAAGCCCCATCCATAAAATCTCCAAGCCCAAAATCCTACATCCCTAAAGCACGAACTCTCTAGACTCTAGACAGGCCCTTGATCTCAACCCCCTTTTCCTTGAACATTAGGGTTTAGGGTTTAGGGCTTAGAGTTTAGGGTTCAGGGTTTCGGTTTAGGGTACAGGGTGTATTGTTTGGGGTTCAGGGTTCAGGGTTTAGGGTCTCGTGGGAACAGGGTTGTCGAGAGGATGGATCTGGGAGTCTCACAATGGAGGAGATGGCGATGGTGCCAGCACCTCGCTCTGCAGTTTCATGTCTCGAGCTGGACTGCTGGAATCTAGGGCCCTAAACCCTAAACCCTAAACCCTAAACCCTAAACCCTAAACCCTAAACCCTAAACCCTAAACCCTAAACCCTAAACCCTAAACCCTAAACCCTACTTTATTATTTAGGGTTAAGTTTTTGGAGCTTGAGGGCCTTTAGGCGATTGGAAGTCAGGGTTAGGGGCACTAGTCCGTGTACTACCGTCTTGTCTGCGCATGCTGCACGCATCACGCCGCGTGCCTTTTAGCTTTCCTGTGTTAAAGCTCACTGGCATCCTGATTCCCGGCTTAGATTCCCTGATGTCACAAGCACGCAACCGTTGCATTCACAGGTTTCTGAAACCACAACTTGTTACACTGAGCATTTACAGGCCCGAACGCCCCTTTCACAAGCCCTCGAGCCCACGAAAAGGTTGAGGAGTTTAGGGTGTATTTAGGATGCCCCCGCCCCCAAAACACGGATGACTACATGAGAGTAACACTCAGTTAAAAAGGCCCTCGCTATTGTACAGGGACCAGAGCTAAAGATGCATAACACATGGTTCCTCATAATGGTAACCTAATCTATGACCCAAAGACCCCGAAACCCCAAACCCTAAGCCGCCCGGCGAAGGTGGACATCATTCCGGAGGAGCTGCGTTCCAAGAGCCGTGTCACCTCCATGCAGGACCACATGCGGGGGTTTAGGGTTTAGGGTTTAGGGTTTAGGGGTTAGGGTTTAGGGTTTAGGGTTTAGGGTGTAGGGTTTAGGGTTTAGGGTGCATGGTTTAATTAGGGTTTAGGGTTTAGTTAGGAGTGTGCCCGCTTCAGTGTTCGAGGTGGGATCCTCGCGCCTGGTGTTTCGTGGCTTATAGGGCGCGACACATGATGCCCTACATCTCACATGAAAGAGCCATGCATTGTATACATGGCTTTGCTTTGCATCCACCCCCATTCGTGTTGATGCACTCGGCTCGTCCTCAGCAGGCCAAACAGGCGAGATGCGTAAAGCAAAGAGGGTTTACGGTTCAAGTTTTAGGGTTAACATCCAACCTTTTGGTTGTGATTGATGGGTCTTGTTTGCTTGGCGTGCAGGTGTGGTTTTGTAAGGTTTGGGATGTTGGTGTGGCCCAGCAAATTCCGTGCTCTTTCTCTCCTGAGTCTTTCGCCACTTCGTTGGGGTGTAAACTTGTTGTCTGCGGGCTGAGTGTTGCAGACCTGCTTCGAGTTCCAATGATCCAATTCCCAAACTCTGAACGAACTTTATACCCTGTAAACCTTGACCTTAAATACAAACCGCTACCTCACGCTCTAATTACAGACTGAGATAGGTTGAGCTAGTCACGATGGCATGATGGAGCGGTTTACCATGGTTCCTACTGTGCTCGGGGTTCGCCGGCTAAGGGCTAGCGAGCGTTTGGGGGAGGGTTCAGATAATCAGGATTCCAGCACATCGGCGACAATCAGGGGGCAACCCGATTTTGGGAAACACGCATGTGGTGCGGGGGGGGGAGGGCTCATGGAAACGACAGGAAGTGTTCGAAATGCTTGATGTGGATGGCGGCGGCGAACTGACCCGCGAGGACTGGCCCCTATAGACGTAGACTTCTTGGCTGGGTAGCAGTCCATGTCCCGTTGCTCAAGCCCAAAGCCCGTAGAGTATAGATCTCGTTCCTGGCAGTTCGGGCTGTGGGTTCCCCCCACGTTAGGAAGTTAGGGTTACGTTTGAGGTCCCAAAATCTTGGACCCTAAGCCCTAAGCCCATGAAGACTGAACCCTGAACCTCAGGAGTTTGTTGACGGTCTCCTCAATATCTTCATGCACGATGACCCCGCCACCTCCGCCTCATGCCTGGTCTGGGAGTGGGTTTAGGGTTTAGGGAGCCGGACAAGATTGCCAAGATTCTCCCCCTCAGAATCCCATGTTCGCTACATTTGGGTTCCTTGGTGGGGTCCTAGATGCACCACGGCAGCCTTGTAGTCAGGGATCCCAACTTGGAGAATTACCAGTATACATACTGCAACCTACCTTCGAATTACCCTAAACCCTAAACCCTAAACCCTAAAACCCATATTGGGAGGTGCAAGGGGTCCGACCACCGGCACTGAGGGCGCCAGGCTTCAGGGGTCAGGGCTTCTAGTTGTAGGGTTCACGAGGGTCCTTCAACCCTAAACCCTAAAACCTAAACCCTAAACCCTAAACCCTAAACCCTAAATCCTAAACCCTAAACCCTAAACCCTAAACCGCACATTCAATTTGAAAAGGACCATATGCCAAAAGACTTGCAGAGAGGGTTGCAAAAGACCAAGCTTCTGGGAATCGGGGTTTAGGGTTTAGGGTTTGGGGTTTGGGGTTTGGGGTTTGGGGTTTGGGGTTTAGGGCTCCAAGGTGCAGACGCTTCGGCTGCTCCGCAAGGTGGACATGAAGGCCTCCGCCCAGAACTCTGGGACCTAAAAGTAAGGGTTTCGGGTTTAGGCTTTAGGCTTTAGGCTTTAGGCTTTAGGCTGTTTAGGGTTTAGGGTTTAGGGTTTAGGGTTGAGATAAGAGGGTCTAGGGTTGGAAGTCGCTTAAAGGTGTTGGGGGATGTTGTGCTTGGGCTGTCGGGACGAAGCGTCCAATGCCCATGCACTGGGGAGTCTCTCTTGCAAGAGCATCCTTTGCTTAAGATCGCCCTGGACCCTGGCATGGCTTACAGTAGGCTTGTTGGTTGGATGATTTGAAAACTGACATTGCTCCCAGAGACGACCAGCAAACCCACGGAGCAGTGCAATCTCACGGGAAGAGTGGAGTACTGAGTCCATCTGTGCTCAGGTCATGCACCTCACGCAAGACTTCCACGAAGCCTTGGGCTGGAAACGGAAGTCGTTCAGGGGTGCCACTTGAGGCTCTAAGTACAGCCCCTAAAGTTCCCTCAAAAACTCCAAAAACCCGAAGACAGGCGCGTGGCTTTGAGCTCTAAACCCGAAACCCTAAAGGCCCTAAACCTAAACAGTAAGCTGTAAGCTGGAACTCGGAGGCAGACCTCTGGATTCCTGCCGGGCTACCTAAGCAATTTCCGGACCCTAAAGTCTCATCCACATCAATTCTCAGCCCGAATCCAGACAGATTTAGGGTTTAGGGTCCCCGACAGGAGTAATTACCTTCTGGCCTGCGACGCGAAAGCTCCCTCTACCCCAGACGACTCTCTACACTCACAGCTACGCGTCCGCTTTCAGCGGGACTTTTAGCCTTCTGGAACTTCTGAGGCTTAGTGAGATGTTGGGGTTTCCGAAATTAGAGATACCTTAGTAGGGGTCCTTGCTCTAAGGGATCCTAGTCTTCGGGGATCTTTCTTAGGGGCCCCCCTGTTTCGTAAACCCCCGTTTAGGGCTTGCAGGGTTTAGGGAGCCGAGTTTGGGGCAACTTTCAGGATGAGCCTTGAGTCTCCCCAGCTGCTGCAGCAACTGCAGATGCTTGTTGTAGGTGGAGCCCCCTAGGAGATTGGAGGAGCACCTTTGGCACTCTTACTCAAAATGCTGCCAAAGAGTGTTTCCCAGATTCTGGGGGAGGGAAAGAGAGATCTGGGATGTAGACCTCCCCCTTCATTCAGGGTTCCTGTCCCTTCATTCAGGGTTCCTGTCCCTTCCTTCATTCAGGGTTCCTGTCCCTTCCTTCATGGTTCCTGTACAAATGCCCCAACCTTTGTGTAGAGTTCTAACTACTCTTGGATCCTTCCAGGGTGTAAGGTGAGGGGTGCAAGGTGTTGAGGTACGTCTGTCTCCAAGGTGTCCCCCACCCTGGATTTCCAAACGGGGCCTAGGCCGGTGTAAGTTGTTCCTTGTGCTCCGTTGTACCAAAGAAACTCGTCAAAAAGGCACTTTCGCTGAATAATTCAGGGACCATTTTCCCCTCTTGTTGAAGTTTACTCTAGGTACCGTAAACCCTAAACCCTAAATCCTAAACCCTAAACCCTAAACCCTAAACCCCATGTAGGGGCTTAGGTCCAGACGGGTTGGTTTCGACGCTGTAAAGGGATGACTGCCGCCTTCGGATCGATCATCTCCAAGCTCGTGCAGACCCGCCACGCTAAAGGGCTTTGAGTGTAGCTTAGGGTTTAGGGTTTAGGGTTTAGGGTTTAGGGTTTTGCTTTCAAACTATCTGCCCCCAGAGTCTTGTCCTGAGCACGTTCCGACGGGGGGCTCTCAGGGTAATTAGGGCCCAGCAGTGGTGACGCTGACCGTACGCCGCTAGTCCTACATCCCCCTTGAGAGTTTTTTTATAAAACCCAAGAGGATATCAAAAATATTGTGTTTTTTTATTAAGGTTCTAAGGGGAGTATAGAGTCTAGTTCGTGCTTTTGTGTTTCGGCCCAGAAGGGTCCTTCTTGGCCCATCTTGCACCTGCGAGCCTTTATATGTATATATATATATATATAAATAAATAAACATATATATATACAAGCCTCATAAGCTGTCTTTTTGAGTCACCACGAATTGCTGCTGCACAGCCACTAGCTCAAATGAGCCGAATCACGCCGCTCCGTCCTCTGGGCCGTCGCTGGACCTCGCTGAAGCCAAAACCCTAGTGACTGCTAGCTGGTTCCACCCCGAATCCCTCAGCCCTAAACCCTGCGACTTCTTGCCTACACTGTCTTCATTTTTCGTGTGCAGAGTTTAAGGGGTGGCAAGTCCCACATCATGTTCCAGGTGCGCCTGCGGGCATTTAGGACTAAGCCTTGGCACCAATGAACCCTGAAACCTAAACCCTAAACCCTAAACCCCAAACTCTAAACCCTAAACCCTAAACCCTAAACCCTAAACCCTGCCCAGGGGTCGGATGTTTGGGGCATCCTCTGTGGTGTCCTCGTGGATACCAGTTTGGCCCGTCGTTGAAACATCGTGGGCCGTTTTTCTCGCCCAGCGCCCTTCAGAGCTCAGAGCTCGGCTGTAGGTTTAGGGTTTAGGGTTTAGGGTTTAGGGTTCAGGGTTCAGAGTTCAGGGTTTAGGGTTTAGGGTTTAGGGTTTAGGGTTTAGGGTTTAGGGTTTAGGGTTTAGGGGCGTGGATCAGATCGGCAAGAAAGAGTCTGGGCTCTTTGTGCTTGAGGCTCAGAGACTTTGCAGCACCTGGGGTTACATTAGGAACAAGCTCCTCCGCCGTCGGGGGTTGGGGCAGGTTGGGGTTTAGGGTTTAGGGTTTAGGGTTTAGGGTTTAGGGTTTAGGGTTTAGGGTTTAGGGTTTAGGGTTTAGGGTTTAGGGTTTAGGGTTTAGGGTTAGGATTTAGGGTTTAAAGATTCAGGGTTTAGGGTGTTAGGCATTCGAGTTCTCCACGTCCGCAAGACACCCTGGGGTCCAACTGTGGTCAAACCCTCAACCTTCGAAAAACCCCGACCACGAGCCCCAAAACCCACCCCAAACCCCCAAACCCCGAAACTCTCATAAACCCTAAGCCCCCCTAAACCCTAAACTCCCCTAAACCCTAAACCCCCTAAACCCTAAACCCCCTCAAACCCCAAGCGCCCCTTAACCCCAAACCCCTAAACCCTTTAGGGCTTTACTCTTTCACCTTACTCCGGGCCGCGCCAGAAAGGCTTGCTGGGCAACATCAAAGGTGATTGCCATCGCTGCCTAGCCGCCATGGGCTGGAAGTTTTAAACAGGAAGGCCCCCCCGACCCGAATTGGCATAAGAAAAGCCTCTGAAACTCTAAACCCAACTTCGTGATCCGGGCCACTTATAACCCCAATTGCACCTGCACTTATAGGCCCCCTAGGTAATCTCAGTAGGCTAGAAGTAGACTTCTACGTTGGGCTATAAGTATCCATGAACTCCAAGTACACCCGTCACCCAACCCGTGCTGAGCTGAATGTCCTTTGATCATATCTCTCAGGGCCATGAGATTTCTCCGGGGGGGGGGGGGGGGGGGGGGGGGGGGGTGCCCAACAAAAAAAGAAATTAAACCATTCTTCCTTAAAATGGTAATATATGGATTATAATTTTCATTTTTTGGGGAGGTTCTTCAGCAAGATAATAGCAGATGAATCATGAAACATGTTCATCGCATCGGCAATGTGCCGCTTTTGGTGTTCGGAATACAGTAGTGTCTGTGCTGGGCTTCAGGGCTTCTTCTTGTCATCAGGGCCTGATCATATACCCAGAAACCAATCCCAAAACCTCTGAGATCCCCTTCTTAAACCTCAGCCTCCCAACTCCACACCCTTTAGCACCTGAAAGCCTAGAACCCTTACCGCAGCCTCTCAATTCCACACCCTTAAACACCTGAACCCTAGCCAAAACCCTTAACCCCAAACCCTAAACCCTAAAACCCTGGGGACGGGACGGGCTGCTAGACTGCCTTCCCTTGTGAGCAGCGTCGGCCAAGATGCCGCGCCACTTGGGGCCACAAAAAGGAATCGCTTCCGGGGTTTAGGTTTCGTAGGGTTTACGGCATGCTTAGGGTTGGTAGGGTTGGTAGGGTTGGTAGGGTTTACGGTCTAGGGTTTAGGGTTCATGCAGGGTTCAGGGTTTAGGGTTGTTATCTCAATCTTGGGCCCTCATCTTCATACCCGAAACCGCAGAGAGCTGATCCTGACATCTTCGGGCCTACCTAGCAACCCCCCCCCCCCCCCCCCTCGCCGTTTTTGTTGCGCAGGTCCCTAAGTCTATATGGTCGTGCAAATCTAAGTCATAGGGGAAGTTCGACGCCCTGAGCAGGAAGTAGCCCCTAAACCCGAACACCCTAAACCTTAACACCCTATACCCTCAATGCCGCGATGCCCAAGAACCCTAAACCCGAACACCCTAAGTTTGGTTATCCTTGGTGCTCTCGACTCACAGTGTTCCAAGTTCCACACCTCAGGGGTGTAAGGTTTAAAAGGTTCGGGGTTAGGCTGTCAGGTTTTGTTTTGCAAGCTGTCTGTGTGACTGTCTGCTGTTTTTTTTCCACCTTCTCACGCAGCTCTACAGCATGGCCATGATCACCACAGCTGAACCCTAAAACCCCAAGCCGCAAAGTCCCTACTCACCCTAAGCCCTAAGCCCTAAGGCCTAAGCCCTAAGCCCTTAACCCTTAAGCCCTAAACCCTAATCCCTAAACCCTAAACCCTAAACCCTAACCCTAAACCCTAAACTACGACTAGGGTTCTGAGTTTAGGATTGCAGCCAAGGGCTTTTCGCCGGAAGCTGTGGCGCGGCGGACCTGCAGGAGGCAATCATTGAAAGGAGATTGCCCGGGAAGCCCAAGACCCCTTCAAGAATCTTGGGTTTAGGGTTTACTACTTTTATTTGCTTAAGAACCGCCTAAAAACAAAAGATAACAATCCCTAGAAGGCTCTTATAAGGACGAATATTTTCACTTTGGGGGGTTCTTAAGCCATTTTGTAGCTTATGCAGCCCCAAGCCCTACAAATTAGTAAGTTGATGCCACCCACAATGAACTCATATGGTGTATAGACGCAATAGCAGTAGTGTGGGGGAAGGGCTGTTTCTGGACCACTTGCAGAAATTCACCTTGTCTGCAAGACTTTTGTCTCCAGCTGCAAACGCTGCTTTACAGTAAAACTCCAGAAAGCTGAGAATGATTAGAGCTGGGTTCCCTTTAGTATACCTTTCGGGGTATTTCGGAATAAGGATGTTCCAACTTTGTGGAGTTTGCTCTAAGAGGGTCTGAGGTTTGGGGGTTGAGGTCGTTGAGGTCAGGGCGGCCACACCTCGACTTGAAAGCGCCCCAAGGGTCTTCACCACCTCTCTGGCGTGGTCATCCACCGGCGCATCTACTCAGATGCAATGCAACCTGGCTACCAGGGTTTGCGGTTCAGGTTTGAGTTGTCTTCCGTCAGCTTGAAGTGGAAGTTGTTCTACTTTTGGGTACTTTTTTTTTTTTTGGGGGGGGGGGGGGTTCTTTTCCTTTCATTTACTGGAGGGAACCCTACTACGAAAGCCACCTGAAGTGGAGGCCCAAAGTGAAACCAATTTCCCCAAAGGACTGGCTTTGAATCGCTGCCGAGAGACATGATGTGTCTTGTGTGGCCTAAAAGATTGCTTGCATGTTCTGAGACAACGAGTTCTTACCAGAGTCTTCGAGCCCACAAGCTCACTGTCCGCACCAAGCCTCTACGAGCTTGCTGAATCTCATGCTGCGGACGATTCCCTTATAAAGCAACCAACCCCCAAAAGGGCACCCTTTTGCAATTGTGTGAATTTCTGGGCTACGAAGATAAGAAGCTCAATAAGCAGGTGGCTCTCCGTTGTGGACGAAGCCTCCGGGACCCTGTGCGACGAGATCTGCGGCTCGGGCTCCGGATGAGCTAACCCTAAACCCTAAACCCTAAACCCTAAACCCTAAACCCTAAACCCTAAACCCTAAACCCTAAACCCTAAACCCTAAACCCTAAACCCTAAACCCTAAACCCTAAACCCTAAACCCTAGCCGAGTAGGGGCACTTGGAGGTTCGTGGGTAGCTATGGGTAGGGTTATAAGGACCCTGAATAAGGTTATATAACCAGGTGTAACTATAGTGGCCGTGCTTATAACCCCGCTTGTAACTACCCATGAACCTCCAAGCAGGGGTTCAGATTTCAGGGGTTTAGGGTCAGGGTTTTCGGATGTGGGCTTATGCTTGGTCTACTCTGGAGTGTATGTACTTCTGAGTGCACTTCTGGGAACAGGGCTGGGTTCTGGCGTTCCCTGCCGCTCCTTTTATCACACCTCAGGATTTGCTTCCAGGCGTGGGTTATCGGAACGACTGCACAAGGTCGGTTACCTACCGTGAAAACAGGAAGACAGGTGCAACAGGGAGAAGAGCCGAACTCTACAACCTACAGCCTGAAAGCTGTAGGCCTTGCTTCTGACCCCGGCATCTCGAAAGCAAGGTTATCCGGAAGGTGGACCTCTGCCTGTACGAGACGCTCTGGCCTTGCAAGAAGTTCAAAATCATAGCCGTGCGTTACTATGCCCACTGCCCTCACACTGAAACCGTTGGGAGGCCGAAATAGCAGGGCAGGTTGGTACCAGGTGGTACGATCCCGATACCTCTTACTTGGGAGGCATTCGCATGTGTACCGCAGATCTCTGGAAGATTTCATCTCAAGTTCTTCTCCCTTGTATGGGATTCAAGACGATGGGTGCCGCCTTCAACAGGCCCATGCTGTACCATACCAGCACCAGCCATTTGCTCGACCTTTCGCCCTTAGATCACCCGCCCTCAACCCCGAGATATCCTAAACCCGAACTACCCTATGAACCCTAAGCTCTGGACAGCACGTTGCTTATGAACCCAGAGTTGAGATTCGAACACAGTTTTAGGGTTAAAGTCCACGATGCACATGGGCAAAGTTATAGCTTACAGTGGCACCTGAACCTCAGCGCACTCAGCCTGCGAAAGCTAAGCTACCCTAAACCCTAAACCCTAAACCCGAAACACTAAACTCCAAGTCCCTAAAACCCTGTCGAAATCCGTCTCTGGTCGAAGGATCTCTGGCGCGGAGTCAAACTGGGAGACAAAGTCGAGGCAAGAGGCTACTGGAAGCAGACGCTTTTCTCAGACTTGAAGGAGCCGGTTTAGGGTTTAGGGTTTAGGGTTTAGGGTTTAGGGTTTAGGGTTTAGGGTTTAGGGTTTAGGGTTTAGGGTTTAGGGTGGCCTACAAGGTGCTGAGATCAAGTTTTCTAACGGGATTTGTGGGGGCTCTAGCTGGTCCTTCGGCCGGGTTTGAAGCGCACAGCTTTGCTAAGATGTTCGCCTAGAAAGGGAGAGTGCAGGTACCAACTCAACTTTCTGGATTTGGAGAAACCTTTGACTTTGTGTTGTGGATTAGAACTGCAGAAGGTCCATCCGGCCGGCATCGAGGCATTCGTTTGGGGCAGGACGGCGGTTCTCGGGATAAAGTTACAAGTGGGTTTAAGTTAGAAGTCTAAAGTTTGAGGCCCTAAGCTCTAGGCCCTGAGTCTTAAGTTTGGGCTTTAGCTTCTGTTCTCTGAGCCCACAGCCCAAAACCGAGGAAAGGTTTCCGCGGGCATTGCCTCGAAGCGACCGGGGTAGTGGTGGAATCGACGCTGGAAGCAAACTGTCCGCACGTGTTTTTTTCCGAGAGCTTGAGCTTGAGGGTGTAGAGGGTTTAAGATTTAGGGTTTAGGGTCTGGGGTTTAGGGTTTAGGGTTCAGGGTTCAGGGTTCAGGGTTTTGGTCCTGGCTATAGCTAGGCTACCTGCTCAAGCTCCTGGTCTTGGAGACTCGCAAACCGTAGAGCAGGGGGTCGTGCAGTTCACTGGTCTTCAGACGATGAGCTTATAGTACGTTTGCTTTTCCTTCACCTCAGGTGTAGCAACTGCCACCCATCTCTTTCCAGAAACCGACTTCAAGCCTCAAACACCTCACCTCTCACCCCAATTGCCAATAGCACGCAATCACTGCACAGGATTCACGATAAGGCTGCAGGGCTTCGAAGCCTGAAGCCCGACACCATACATGTTAAACCATACTATCCATCCTGGCCTGACTACTCTCTGACTCCTACTCCTGAGGTTCCCTAAAGCCTAAGCCTCTATTAGGGTTTAGGGCTTCTAGGGCAAACCCTACACCCTAAACCCTAAACCCTAAACCCTAAACCCTAAACCCTAAACCCTAAACCCTAAACCCTAAACCCTAAACCCTAAACCCTAAACCTTCATTACAGGGCTCATAAGGGGCGCTACAAACCTCTCCGAGGATGCGGATGTGGAGCGTTGAGCACTGCCTGAGCGTGCGAAGCTCTCCGCATCAGCCGCTGTGTGCTCCTTCTTTTGGTTGCAGCTTGGGTTTAGGGTTTAGGGTTTAGGGTCTAGGGTTTAGGGCTGAGGGCTTAGAGCTTGGGGTTTAGGGTTTAGGGCTGTGCACACGAGAAGCCAACCCAGAGAGAGGTCCAGCAAAAGCACAGGCAGCATGTCGGTATAGGTAGGCAGTCATATTGGCACTTCTCCAAAATGGGGCCCCTTTTAGGGTCCCTAATATAGGGCGGCAACATGTAGGGTACCCAAAAAGGGACCATGATGTTTGAGAGCTGACCATATACAGATGTAGAGAGCACGCGAGAGCGTTTGTCCACGGAGCTGAGGAAGTGCTCCACCAGAATCCAAGTGCCCACTCTCCAAGTCCTCAGGAGCCTCTGTGTTCGAGCGGCAGAAGCCGCAACACCAAGGCCCAGGTGAGGGAGGGGGGGAGGAGGAGGGGATTGGCGGTGCGATGTAGGTTTGAGAGGTCCTAAAATCCTCGATGCTCGTTTTGGGACTATCTCTGCTGGGTGCGTTGCAGCTGCAATCGCGCAGTTAGGGCTCAAGGTTGACTGTGGGTTGCTGTTGTTTTTTAAATAAGGTACAAGCTTCCTTCTTGTTAGGTTGGGGAACTTGGCAGGGTGTAGTCGCTTGAGCGGTTTCAGCGTCTGGCGGTCCAGAGGTTTGCGTCTGTAGCCCTAAACCCTAAACCCTAAACCCAATAGGATTAGGTACAGAATACTCGGGAGTTCTGGGACGCTGACAGGCATCCCACGTCCCGGACCTGTGCCAAAAGCAGCCTCCGGTCAGGACTGCAGGTCACGGCTGAGTCAGTTCTTTTGTCATGGTTAAAACGCGGTGTACCTGTTACCCCAATTACCTACAGCTTTATGGGTTATACACATTAATTAATTGGTAGTTCCTACTAAACTGTCGGTCATTGGGGCTACCGATACCCCCATGGCCAAGCGTAGCAACAGTAGCAGCTTTGCAGGACGTGCATGGTGGCCCGAACACTCTGGAGCGGGCCCAGGTCTCCCGGAAGGGGGGGAGAGGGGGCTGGGAGGGGGGGAGGGGGGGAGGGAGGGCGGGGAGGGGGTGGTTGAAGGGCGGTTTAGAGGGTCTTGTGTGTGGGCCTTGTGGGGCTTCGGACTTTTGGTCAAAGAGTCAGATGCAGCTCCACTAGGTACTTAATTCCTCTGAGAACTTGGTAGGCATGCTTGCCCTCTTTGTGGATACAGGGCCGAGCTGAACCTTTCCCTGAAACCCTGAGCCCCTAAACCACTAAACCCCTTAAACCCTAAAACCCTAAACCCCTACAGTAACCCCTAAAAAAACCCCTTAAAACCCTAAACCCCGAAAACTCGCGGTTCCGAGGCTGTGGCCGAGCTTCTTCTGCGAGTCGCTGGCGGCGCCCAGGCCCTCAACCGAGGCCGAAACCTCACAGGGTTTAGGGTTTAGGGTTTAGGGTTTAGGGTTTAGGGTTTAGGGTTTAGGGTTTAGGTTTTTGGGTTTAGAGTTTAGGGTTTAGGGCATTCCTCTTAAGGTATGTGAACCATAAACCGTTTTAGGATTGATTTGGCCCCCCAGGATAATGCCCCCCAAACTGCGAAGCGGCTCGGAGTTTGTCGTCTGGGGTTCAGGCTCTCAGGTTTGGGGTTTGTAGATTGGTTGGGTTCTACGTTCTGGGTTTTCAGGGTTTGGGTTTTCGTGGCGATAGATTTCAGGGTTTGAGGTTTGGCGCAAACGAACGTTCCAACCATGAAGCGAGGCACTGGCGTTCTCGATGTGGCTGGTGGCACAGGCGCGGCGAGGGCAAACCCCATATGCCCTACGCCCTGAACCCGGCTAAATTAACAAACTAAACCCTAAACCCTAAACCCTAAACCCTAAACCCTAAACCTCTTTCGGTAGGTTACCTAAGAACGGGTCGCACCGAGTCTTGGCTTCATCTAGCCAATCTCCCCCAACTACTCCCAACCTTGCTGCACACCCTGTCATCCCTCTTGAACTTTTAACCCCACAATCCCTCTGATCTCCTAAACCCCTTTTAAACCCTACCCAGCAAGCAGGCCTGCTCTCTCTGGCCCTTGCTCTGCGTGGGGTGCGCGCCACCGTCGTGGATCCACGACGAAGCGCAGGTGGGCAGAGGTTGGTTTAGGGTTCAGGATTGCAGTTAGAGCGTAGGTTTTGGGACTTGCGGCAGGGGCATACCTCCAGCTACCTTGTAGCAGGACCCAAGTGCCTATAACTTAAAAACCCTACACCTCAAACCCTAAATTCTGAACTACGGCTTATCTAGCCCCTTTGAAGGCGAGCTAAGGTGAAGAGTGTAGGGATTGAGGCGGTTTCTGGCCTCGGAGTTTGAGTTGCGCATTGCACGCGCAAGCTTGGTTTCATAGTTGCACTGCAGCCGACCGATCTAAGTCGACATAAGCCGACAAACGCGACATGCCGGTGAGCCCACAGGCGGAAGGCCTAGACCCCAAACCCATTCATGATCGATTCGGCGGCGCTTGGTGGCCAAAGAGATTCGGTTCCTAGCATGTTATGCCAGGCAAAATTTTGGGTGCGAATCACATGCAGACATGTTTGCGGACTTCATGCGGCGATGCAGCCCAACTTGCTGCATGAGGTCGTGAGACGTTTCATGTTGGAGACTAGGCCCAAAATGATTCCATAGTTACCCCATAAACAAGGTGGCGGCGCCCGTAAGAGGCCGTGTGAGTGAACACATTTTTTGCTTGATTTTTTCGCGTCGGGGGCTAAAAACCCAAGCGAAACACACATTTTCGTCATGACCGCAGTATTTGCAGGGCTCGAAAACACTGAAGGGTTAGGTCTTTTTTTCGGAAAAATGCATTTTCGCTCGAAGCCTGATCGTTTTTTTGTTGTTTTTTTTTCCAGGGGGTCTTTTTTTTTTTGAAGTTTTGGACGCGCTTTTTGCTCGAAATTGCGCTCTCGCCTAGGCGCGGGCACGTTTTCCTCATTCCCCACGTTGAACTTTCAAATAGCGATTTTCGGTTCGGGAAGTTTTTTCTGCGTTGTGGCTCCGGCAGTTCAGGTTCGAAATAGTGCTCTCGCCACAGCGCAGGCATGATTTTCTGGAATTGTGCTTTGGTTGTAACCCAACAGACTTGCGCACTGGATCCTGAAAGTGGCCTCAAGTTGATTCTTCTTCAGGGTTCAAGGTTCAAAGTTTAGGGCTCAGGTTTCAGGATTTGGGTTTGCACTGCTTGGACTATTCTTTTGGGTTTAAGGATCTTTTGTTTGTTGTGTTTTTTGTAGGGGGTGTCGTTTTGAAGTTTCGGACACATTTTTTGCTTGAAATTGCGCTCTCGCCTAGGCGCGGGCGCGTTTTGCTTATAAACCCCGAATTAAACAGCAAGGGTTTAGGCCTTTGGGGATTAGGGGTTCAGGCTTTGGAGTTGCAGGTGTGAAGTCCCAAGTCACGTGATTACCCCCCCCCCCCCCACCCCCCACCCCGAGCCCCAGAAATTGTGGTTACTCGCACGGCCTCGTAGAGGCGCCGTCTCCATAAACAAGCCCAAGCCTATAAACCCTTCCCCCCATACCTGTAGAAGAAGCCCCCGAAGTCTTTGCGAGGCCATGCGCCCAAGTTAAGTACCCAAACCCTTCGGGAGCTAATGGGTTTAGGGTTCAGGGTAGCCCATTGTTGCCCTTGTCTCTTTTTGTGGTTCAAGGATCCCTTATAAAGTAACCAACCCAAAAAGGGTGCCCTGCTGATAACATGGTTACTGGGCTGCCAAGGGCTTGGGGCTCATGAAGTGCATAGGGCTTCGTCGAGGTTGCTTGCCAAGCCGCGCGCGCAAGATGATGCGGAAGTCAGGCCAAGCCTCTTCAAGCAAGTTGTTGTGGGGGGGGGGGAGCCCTCTTAGCCCTAAACCCTAAGGCTCTCTTCGAGTAGAGGGCTGGTAGCACTGGTATCCTTTGTCTTTTGTTGGTCCTGTTCGATTGTTTTATCCGAGCCGGCACACCTGTGGCCTAACATGCTTGTAGCAATACGATTTTTAGGGTTTTGGGTTTAGGCGCTCCCTTGCACCCTAAACTGGCCTGAAGAACCTTTACAGCCCAACAATCCCATGATGCCCATAAACTCGGCGAAAACTCTCGAAACTCGAAAACTTACAAACCTCCCAGATCCTACTAAGCTCAAACAACCCGAGAATTCTGCAGGTGTCGGTTCCCTCCTGGTCGCTTGCCGCGCCTGGTTTGGTGGGCGACTCCAGGCCTAGTGTGCCACTTGGGGCTGATGGCTCGGGTGCGGTTGCTTTAACTTGGATTTAAGGTTAACGTGCAGGGTTTATATATACTATAGGGGCCTTGTTGTTTGGGGCTTTTGATTTGGTTTTAGTTTCACGGCTCATGGCTCGTGCCTCCCCCCGCCCCTCCGCACTCAGCCTCGATTGCAGTTTCTTTTGGTAGGTTGTTGTGGGCTCCCTAAGTCGGACCCCTGACTTAGGGGTACCCGAAAATGGCCCACAAGTTTGACCAACCCTTTGTTTTGGGTTTTTCGTTCTATGGCTATATTTCTCTAAGAAGCCACCCCCCCCCCCCCCCAACAAAAAAAGCAGAATAAGAACAACAAGAGGATGCTACAATTTCGTGTGTTGCTTCACACCTCATCTAGGGTAACGCTTTACAAGTAACAGTGCATCAAGGATCACGTTGATTTCCTCGCATTTGTGGGTAAGGTACATGCCCAGTGGCCTCGTCGTGCGTTTTCCACTCCAGCCCAAACCCTTCAGAAATCCTTGCACACCCAGATGAATTCTTGCAGTAGACCCTATCAACCCTAATCTCTGAAAGCCCCAGCCCTAACCCTAAACCCTAAACCTTATGTCAGCTCGCAGGGTGCCGACGACTCCTTTAGCGGATCCGGCGACGCCGTGCCTGCCTGCGACGCGCCTTGGCCATTTGTTCGTATTTTACGGGGCTTGGGGTTTGGAGTGTGTGTGGGTGTGTGTGTGTGTGTGTTTTTTTTTTCCGCGGGTTTTCCGGGGGCCAGCACTCGTTCGTTATGCGATGAAATTAAAGACCTGTGACTTTGCGAATGCCAGCGGTGATGCAGCAGCTTTCTTTCACACCCAAAACTAAACTGCCTGTGTTTGCCGACATGCCTTCAAATGTTCACTGCTGAGCTCGCCCTGAGTGTCGACAAAAGGGTTTGCAATGTCTGGAAGCTTGTGTGGCTGGGCGAGCCACACTCCTAGACCCTCAGGCTTCCAACCGGACTTTGAGCTTCAAAGTTTTGGCCCTAGACGGGCCCGTTAACCCTGCCATGCTCTTCGGTTGAGGGCTCCGGAGACGAATAATATTTCATGGTTAGGAAGATTGAGAGAGGCTAAGGGTCATTAGGGTTGAGCATCTAGAGCTCACACAGCGGGGCTCTTGTTCCGCCTAAAGGGTTCTTAAGCACGCACAAAACCTACCCAACTCCAAACCCCGATTCCTACTTTGGGAGCCCCCATTTCCCCCAAAAGGGAACCTACCTGATGTTCGGGCCCTAAACCCGAAACCCTAAACCCTATAAACCCTAAACCCTGCAAACCCTAAACCTTAAACCCTAAACCCCATAAACCCTAAACCCTGTAGACCCTGTAAACCCTGTAAACCCTAAACCCTAAACCCAAAACCCAGTGGGCCCTTCCCCGGCCGCAGAGAGGAGGCACTTGTCGCTGGCTGCTCCGCGCTGGTCGCGCTGCACCCAGATGAGGCAACATCTCTCAGCTGGCTCGCCGTAGGAAATTTGTGTATTCCTAAACCCAAATACAATCCCTTAAAATGGGCCCGTAAGGTAGACCTTGAGATGTTCCCCCCTGCACTAGCAGTCTTTAATGAGGATTCTAGTCCCTATTAAGGACTGTTAGTATAAGGGGGAACATTTTCCAGGTACACCAAACTCCCCTTTTCCCCGCCCATGCTGAGAACGAGCAAGACATGGAGTGAAGACTTCAGGGCTGCGCAGGTGACCTGCTGAAACAGTCCAGCCCTTTTCTTCCTCATAAACAACAGGCTTAAGCTCTTTGTGTGTGTGTGTGTATGTGTGTGTGTGTGTGGGTGTATGGGTGTGTGTGTGTGTGTGTGTGTGTCTGTTTGTTCTCTTTGGTTAAAGTCTGTATTTACTGGACGTTCTTTGTATTAGTTTCATCTCGTTGCTTAATGGCCCTCCGAACACATGGCTTGCAAGAAGGAATCCCGAAACTCTTTTTAAACCCCGAGCCCTAAACTTTTAGCATGAAGCTCCGGACGAGTGATGAATGATTCCTGCGGCCTACACAGGTAATGTAGCAATCACAGTGTGCAGTGATTGGGGCCGAGCACTCCCTAATTTTGCGGTCTTGTGTTCAAACGCCAAAGAGACTTTTCTTTCCAATCTCGTGGCTGCAGATTTCCATTTCTTGCGCTTCTGCCGCTTTTCAGGCCACGGAGGCCGTCGTGGACGCGGCGCTCCGCCTCCGGCGGCCGTTTGTGGTGGTGCCATGCTGTGGCTCGGCGAGCGTTCTTGTCGCCTGCTTGTGGGGATTGTGTTGCATGTGGTGTGCTTTTTGTTCGGGCCGATTCACTTTTCCTGCCGTTTTGCCAGTCGGTTTGAGCACGACTGGTTTGCTACGTTTATGGCTGTTCTGCTGTGTGCATGTTCTTGCACAGGTTCATGGTTTTAAGATCCTCCCGCGAATGCCTTCTATGCCTTGTGATGTTACGTCTATGCGCTTCCCATTCCTTTCCCAAAATCCAAGGCGTGTTTGCTCGCCTTTTCCCCACCAGGTCGCTCGGCCGCAAGGGGAAAGTGCGTGGATCCTTCTGCATCAAATCAAAACTTTGTGCTTGGGTCTTCGGTCTTTGACACGGTGCTGGGTGCTTTCCCAAGTTGTGCTCGGTTTTGGGGTTCTGTTCGCATGGTCCGCTTTGGAAGTTGAGAGCAACATGTTGGGAGGTCTTGCGGGGACAGCCAACAGCAAAGGTCCGTTTGTGCTGGTGGTGAAGATGTTGTTTAGTTTTTGCATGTTCTTTGTGGTCACGGGGTCACGGTACCTGGGCCGATTAATAGGTTAAAATCTGCACCTCGCCTACGCTGGCCACCGCACAAGCGGCCAAGCCATCTTTCTCGTTGAACAATGACAAGAGCTGCTTACGTCAAACATCCTCCCGGTTTTTTACAAGCCAAGCTCCATGCGGATGGCTTCTGAGTCCGGAGAGTGCCCAGTTTGCCTGTTGTTAATGATATAGACCCACATGCACCCTGAACTCGGTTGAGCCTAGACGTAAAGAGCACAATGAAGGGTTCAATGCCGGCTGCTAAAGCTTAGGACGCTCGATGGGCGTGCAGTGGCGACGCTGCCGGAGCCAACTCTGCAAAAGAATCTGCGTGGGAGGGGATCCAATAGACAGCTGGCTACACCGGCATGTTGTGACGTTCCCCCTTATACTATCAGTCCTTTATAAGGATGCTCATCCCCATTAAGGGTTGTCAGTATCAGGGGAACATCCCAAATTGCGGGCCATCTGCCCAACCAGGAGTTTCGCGAGTTCCTTCGCCGAAAGCATCCAAGCATTCGCGAGGAGCTGGGCAGGGGTCGGAAGCTTAGGGCCTCCAAAGAGCAAAACTGGGAACTCTGTATCGCTTGGGCCCAGACTGGGCCCCTCTTGCGTCGCCCCTTAGCCCCTTATAATATCTTATAATATTATAACCCTTCAAGCAAAAAGAGGGTGCCCTATATACATATATATATATATATATATTAGAGAAAGATCCGTAGATATCCACGCCTCTCTTATGGCCTCCAAACTCGCGTCCCCGAACCACTACAAGTGCTCCGCCCTCCGGACTCCGAACACCCCCTCCCTAACATTCGAGGTTCCTTGGAGGGTTTTGGAGGTTTAGGGTTTAGGGTTTAGGGTTTAGGGTTTAGGGTTTAGGGTTTAGGGTTTAGGGTTTAGGGTTTAGGGTTTAGGGTTTAGGGTTTAGCTTGGGCTGTGGGTGTTTAGGGTTTGAAGTAGACATGAAGTGACATCGGCATGGGAGATTCACAGTGTGTGTTGGCATTCGAGTTTTGGGTTCTTAGGCAGGTAGACCTTCTTGCAGCGCGATTCAGGGTTCAGTTCAGATCTCAGGGTTTCGAGCTACACCGCACCCCACAATTTGGGAAGGAGATCCTCCCCTTTGCTGGAGCGAATGTGGCCTTGTACGCACCTTTGTGTGACGTGGAGGATGCTCAAAAAGAGCTCGAAGGCTGCGGGAACAAAAATGCCGCAGGTGGTTGCAACATGAGGTCGCACGTTGCCTCCAAACGGTATCCTCAGACCTGAGCCCCCAAATTTAAACCCTCAGTTCTAAACCCATAGAGTCGTTTAGAAAGCCTGAAGCAGAGTCGTCATGTACAAAGTTGTGTACTTTAGAAGTGCAAGGAGGGCACAGATCCTTGCCATTGTTTGCATGTTCACTGCAACCTCGACGTCAACCGTCCATGTGTCAGTGTAGCTGCGAGCATGATGCTGACCATGAAGCCAGAACACAGCCCAGAGGCTTTATTTGTCGCATAGTTCTGGAGATAGGCACTTTAGTGTGGTTTTTCGTGCCGTAGAGTGCCACGAATGGACCCTTTGGGCAAGGTACATGGCAGGCATGTGTCAGCATTGCACGACCAAGGCGGGATGACGACGGCTCCGAGGCGACATGCAGGATTTGGGCTTGAGGGCTTCTAAGAATGACCCAATACTACAGTAGTGGGGGTTAGGGGCTGCTTGGTGGTTCTACTTTTTGCATCCTCCCAGGGGTCTGGGTACCCAAGCGGAGGTTTTGGGCTACCACCATATGACCTTCCACTGCCAGACTCAGACCCCAAATACCGCACCCTCCACTCCCTCCCCCCTCCCCGTGGCAGGGAAGGCCATTTATTGCACTCACCTCACGGGCCAACGCATCTACCTGTAACAGAGGCCTCTTCTACTAACTTATTTTACCTTAACTAGCAAGGACCACAATAGCTCTACTCCCTCACACTAACTCCCCTAAAGCCCACACGCTTTGGGAAGCTTGCTGTGGAGGTGGACGTGGCGCACTTGGCTGTCCTTCAGCTGCAAAGCCCAGTGTCGCGCGACCCAGTAGGGCAGGGTTTTGAGGTTTTAGGGTTTAGGGTTTTGGGGTTTGGGGTTTGAGGTTTGCCTGAGGTTAGGGCACTTGCACCTAGTTGTGCCGAGGTTTTCGGGATATTGGGTGCCTGTATAACACGTTAAGGGCCAGGGTTTCTGTAGGGCGGAATTCCCGAATTCCCTACTAAGAACCAGCGGCTTTGAATGGGTAAGCAGGGTGTAAGCGCTAGGGGGGCATGGTGTTTCGGAATGGTCTTTGATTCTACAGGCCAAGAAGAAAGCGGCGCCCCGAAGCACCCAAGCAGGCCCCCCTCGTAGACCAGAGACGGAGACCCTTTTGCTAGGATGCGGGGTGCTATTCTGAGTTCCATTCAACCAAAACAGGGTTGATGAGGGTTGAGGGTTACAAGGGCACGCTGTGAATGTAGGCTTCAGGGACAAGGGCAGATTTTGGGTGAACAGTGAGCCTAAGTACTCAAAAAAGGACTCCAAACCCTACGCCCTATAGACCCTAAACTCTGAACCCTAGCTTCTGAACCATCAACCCTAAACCCTAAACCCTAAACCCCAAACCCTAAACCCTAAACTCTAAACCCTAAAGCCCCAAACCTTAAACCCCCAAACCCTAAACCCTAAACCCTAAAGCCTAAGCCCTAAACCCCAAACCCCAAACCCTAAACCCTAAACCCCAAACCCTAAACCCTAAGCCCTAAACCCTAAACCCTAAACCCTGTAGTCCCATGCGAGAGTTTGGGCACCCTCGAGGTTGAAGGCCATGCTGCGATCGGACATGCAGGAGGCAAAGACCCTCCGCGCCCCGAGCTGAGAGCAAAGAAAGGGTTTAGGGTTTAGGGTTGAGGGTTGAGGGTTTAGGGTTTAGGGTTTAGGGTTTTAGGGTTTTTCTAGGGTTTTCGAGGGTTTTCGAGGGTTTTCTAGGGTTTTCTAGGGTTTTCTAGGGTTTTCTAGGGTTTTCTAGGGTTTTAGGGTTTCAGGGTTTTAATAGGGTTTTGGGAGTTTTTGTTTGGGGTTTTAGGGTTTAGGGTTTCAGGGCTTAGGGTGTAGGGTTTTGGGTCTAGGTGTTGGGATGAAGGTTTCAGGGTTTGGGGTTTGTAGAGCTTATAGGTGATAAGGCCCATGATGGGGTCTACAGGGTTTTTGTAGGCTCCGTATAGGGTCTAGGGTAGGTTATAGGCTAGAAAGCTTAGAGGAACCCCCGGCAGTGCGACCTTTCGGAGCCCTTATCGCCTCAGAGCCAAGCACCCACCAGAAGCAGGAATCCGCACGAGGGAATTAGGGCCCCATATCTGCCCTGTAAGGGATTTTCCCTCATTCCCTGCTCAGAGCCAGCCTTTTAGGAGGAGAGGGGGGTGGAACCGGCTTGAGGTTCAGAGCCTTTCGGGCTTCAGGCCTTGCAGGGCTGAAGGTTTGGATCTAGGAAGCTCGGGTTTGGGGGGGGGGGGGGGGGGGGGGGTGAAATCCCGAAACCCTAGTTGAAGCTGCAAGGTCCAGGTCCAGACAGAGTTTGCCGACGTCTGGCCAAGCGTCGTCCGCTTTTGGTACGGCCTGCCTGCACCATGCTCAGAGTGATGTCTAACGACGAACTCAGGTCCTCTAAGCCTTGCAACCATATTCTCTCGAGCTTTGATGCAAGTCGGACGTCCCATTGTGTGCATGTTCATAACCGTTTGTTCAGTGTGGCTCTCCGGTTCAGGATGTTACACAGTGTTGTGTCCACCTCAGTTACTTGATGCCGCCTTGCTGAACCCAGCGGAAAACTGCTCCGAGAGTGCAGACGCTTCTGGGTTTTCTCATCGACACCTCCCCTGCAGCCCCTACACTTTGAACCTGAACCTCTTTTCCTCAGAAAAGAAGCACGAAGCGCGTGTAGCTTGGACTGCCCAGCGAAGTGACGCTCAAAGCCCTCCCAGCTCCGAACATCCAAGCCCCAACACGACCCTGAATGTCCGGATTTGGGTTATAGAGAGCACCTAGAGAAGCCTGTACACAATCATCAATAAACTCAACAAAAGAAATCTACCATCACTGCTGGCATATGTGGTAAATAATATGTCTCTCCAGGTAAGGTTGCAGTGCCTTGCCTGGAATCAAACCCGCCCCAAACCCTAAACCCCAATCCCGAAACCCTAAACCCTAAACAACCCTAAACCCCAAACCCCAAACCCTAAACCGTCAAACTCCCCGAGGTTGACATTTGCAGCTTCGAGGCCGCCGTGACCTTGCGAAGGGCTGCGCAGTACTACGCAACTCGACCAGGTTCCCAGACCCCTGGGAGGATCCAAAAAGTAGAGCCCCCCAGATAGTAGTCTATACTACTACTGGGTCATCCTTATGAACCCTTAAGGGGATCTACTGTTTGGATCCTCCCAGGTGCTCCGGGGCTTAGCATTTCAGAGATTGGAGACGATTGAGGTTGTGAGTTTAGGGTTCGTGGCTGACTGGGTTCTAGTTAAGAAGCTGAAAAAAATAAGTTGCCTTGAGTAGGGTTCCCGAATCAAGAATAAACAATATGCTGGTTATAGTAACTTAAGTTTTACAAATGCCCTAACAGGGAACCATTACGGGCTTAGTAGGCTGTTGGCTCAGGTTGGCAGTTCCATCTCTCCAATGCAGCGGGGCGCAGAAGCTGCAAGAACTCCAAAAACCTAAATCCTGAGTTCTGACGCCCCAAATCCGGAACCTGAAACCCCAAGCTTTGCACGTGAGATCCTAAACCCTAACCCTAAACCCTGACTTCCTAAACCCGAAACCCCAAACCCTAAACCCTAAACCCTAAACCCTAAACCCTAAACCCTAAACCCTAAACCCTAGCGCTCCAACCCAGGAGTCTGAGGAGCTGAAGGCCGTCACCGGGGAGCTCCTGATGGCGGCCAGGCCTTGGGAGTGTCGGGTCTGGGGCGTTTGTTGGGTTGAGGAGTTTAGGGTTTAGGGTTTATAGGCTGTAGGGTTTAGGGTTTAGGGTTTAGGGTTTAGGGTTGAAGAGTTTAGCGTTTAGGGTTGAGGAGCTTAGTTTTAGGGGCTTGACGGATGAAGGATTCAGGCTTAAGGTTCGGGGCTTTATGGCTCTGGGGTTCTTAGGGCTGTGGGGCTTAAGGCCCAAAGAGCCCCAACCCCCCCCTTCATTCGAGGATTGTACCTAAATCACAATACTACCATAAGAACCTTCTGACACGGTGTCAGGTACATGTCTCATGTACAGGGCATGGGGTTCATGAGGTGCAGGCTTCGAAAATTCGGGCTTCAGCTTTTGGGCTTAGGCTGTGTGTAGGGTCTGCTAGGTTGGGGTTTTGGGCTTAGACTGTGGACTCTTCGCTGTATGTACAACGGTGGCCACTGCTGCGTGATGCCGATGCGCTCGGTCTTTCTCACCTCTTCGTCTACAACTTGCAGGAGTTTACCTAGAGTAACCTTTGTGCCCTAAGAGAAGGAAATGTCCCTGAATTTTTGAGGACATATTTGCACTTTACTAAGGTAAGGTTACTCTACAGGTAGGGTCACTGATGCATCCTCCATCTCCTGCAGAGCCCCCCAACACCTGCGCAGAAGATCTGCTTACTATTTGCTTAAGAACCCCAAAAGAATAGAAAAATAGTAATCCCTATATTTATATTACCCTTAATAAGGAAGAATATTTTTTGGGGGGGGTCCTTAAGCAATTAGTAGTCTGCTAGAAGCAGCAGCAGTTGCCCAACATCGCCCTGCCTTGCGAGGCCGTCGGCTCCGAGAATGGCACTCGTGGCTGAGAGCTTGAGCACCTCGTGCTGGAGAAGAGGGAACCTTCCCGGATGTAGAATCCCACAATCAACCCTGTAGAGGGCCTTTTGAAGGAAGACAACAATCCCTCTGTTGCCCTTATAAGGAAGAATATGTCTTGAGTTTGGGGGAGGTCCTGAAGCCAGTAGTAGAGTTGCATAACTGCGTCCACACAAGGCTTCGAGACCGATTTTGCGGATCGTGCCTGGAGCTACCTCGAGGCTCCCCTTGTGGCTGTGGGGGCGCGCGGTGGCCAGGAGGGCTTTCGGGCTGAAAGTTTGGGAGTTTTTTGGGGGATTTGAGGGATGGCGCCCAAAAGACTTGGCTAAAGGATGCTGCAGACGTAGAGTCTCAGAACATGAGCACCAATCACAAGCCCCAAGCCCTACAGACATCAAACAACGAAATCATCAATGAGGCTCACCCTCGCGAGCTCTTCGCTTCATCGGCATGGCCAAGGCAGCTGGACTGGCTGCCTTCTCGCGCGGGGGTGTCTCTTGGGTTGCTGGGGAGGTTCTTTGGGATTTGGGCTCTTAAGGGCTCCTGGGCCTAAAAGCTCAGGGGCTCCTGGGGCTTATTCAACATCGTGCTGCGTCTAGGATGCAGAGGTCGGGCTTAGAGTTCAGGATTTCGGCTCGAGGGATGAGGGTTGGGGATTGCAGGGCTGCGGGGTTAGGCTAGGGGTACCTTGTTAGAAGTTTAAGGAATGAGGGTTTGTGTGCATTCAAGCTCAGGTTTTGGGGTCAGGTTCGGGGGGCATTCCTTTCGGGCTGGGGGGGGGGGGGTGGAGGCCGGGAAGGCAAAGAGTCAACCAGGACCCACAGTAGGCCCTGATTCCCCTTTCTTAGGGTTCAGGTTCCCCTATAAACCCTTTAAACCAAGAAGGGCACCCTTTCAATTCCCAGGTTCCCTTGGGTCTAGTCACTCTTCGGGTTTTCATTAGCGGCTGCGCCGCGCCAGGCTTTCCGAAGCCACCGTCGCCGAGTTGATGAGGCAGCTCGCTGCCCGCGCCTTCCGAAGCGAAGCGCAGACATCCTAGAAAGCCTGTCAGGGCCGAAGCCGAAACTCTTCAGAACCCCCACAACCGAAACTCTACCAAGAGTAGCACTTCAGACCAGGAATCCTGAGCCCTTCAACCAAAAGCCATCAATGCCAAGCACATCAAGGTCGCAAGCGCACCATCACGGAAGTAGGCCTTAGCGCTTAGGCCTTTATGGTTTAGGGTTTAGGGTTTAGGGTTTAGGGCTCTACCTAGGACCTAGAGACATGCCTTGGGCCCTGAACACCTTGGCCCTGGGCTTGCAGGTTCTTGGAATAGAGATTTGCAGATGAGAAGTACACTTCACAAGAAGAACTTTCTTCCCACTTCCCTAAATGCAAGCTCAGACGCCTAACCTACACCCCAACCCTCAAACTCCAAACGCCAAATCCCCAAACCCATAGCGCCCCCGAATCCGGGACCCTTGGTTGCAGGCGGGACGGCGTGCGCTGCCGTGAACCTGGCCTCCTTCGCGCCTTGGGGCGCTGGGCGCGTGCCAGGCCCCGTCAGAAGCATTTCGCTCAAAATTCGGGTGTACGAGGCTTGTGGTTAGGCTTCAGGGTTCAGTTTTCAAAGAGTGCATATACGGCTCTTGTGCCCCCCCCTCCTTCCTCTACGTACCGCCAGGCGCGAGAACGCTCCTGAGACAGGCACGCTCCTCACCAGACATCCTGGAGGGTTCATGGCTGAGGGTTCATAGTTTTGTGTTTCCCAACCCCTCCTCGCCTCGCGCAAAAAGCCTCCGAGATGCCCAGAGCTGATGAATACACACAGATACAGATATATATATATATATATATACATATGCATACAGATGAGGGCTTTGTGGTTTTGTGTGGCATTGTATGGTGTGGTACATGCTCAAGTTTGTGTACAGGCCTCAGTCTGTTCAGAAGCAGCAGTTGTTCTGTGAACGGAGAGGCTACGTGCTGTAATGGGAACGCCATCCCGTCATTATCTCCACATTCCGCTTGAAGCAATTACATTCAAGGACTCTCCGGTTTGGCAAGCGCTTCCATACATAATTCATCTTCATGCCAAGACACCACGATGAAGCCCGCAAGGTAATCTAGAAGGTTTAGAATCGACTGATGCTGAGGGTGGAGAACTTTTCTAGGCAAGTGGCATGCACAGTTCTCAAGGCTTATCTGCACTTGAACCCCTGAACTCTTATATGCCCTGTTTATCTAATACCCTAAACCCTAAGGCTAAACCCCACCTTTTCCGCCTTTCCACGCGAAGCTTTCTAAGCCCAGGGGGCTCCGGTGATGGCCAAAGCCACAGGTCGGCGAGGGGAAGGGTGTCCTGGTTTCCAAGCTCTGGGACCCAAAGTTCCTTGCGGTTGAAAAGGCCTTGAAATCAAGGGAAGGGCGTTGGGCTTTCGATCTAGCCTGGGGTTTACATGGACGCTTTGGTGCTGGACTGGGAATCTAGGGGGCCCTGTGTGCATGGGCTGGGGGAGGGGGGGGGGGGTAGCTAGTAACACCAGTTGACTCCTATATAATCGTATGGTTGGAAAGTAGGATTTGAAGGGCAGTACTATCATTACTATTCCTCCCATTCTTTCATTCCCCATTCCCTACATGTAAATAACTACCTGAACAGCTGGGCAGTGGTCAACCGGGCAGGTCTGCCAATGTGGTCGTTCCAGAGGCCGTGGGTTTAGGGTTCAGGGCGTTCAGATTTCAATCGCTGTTTCTTTCTCCAAAATTAAAAACCCCAGCTAGCCGGCTAGCTCTGTCCGGACCTCAACCCCGAACTCGAAAGCAAGCTGGAACCTTAGCGGGCTGGCCTCTCCGACCCCACACCCCAGCCTGCTCGCTGAGCATCGGTTTGATGTTTCGAGGCTCTCTAAAGGCTCTTTTCAGATTGTGTTGTCTTCATGTAGCAAGCGCCAGCAAAATAGAATCCAGACTTCATGGGACTTGCCTCGAGGAAGCTCGATCATTTCTTGGCAAGGTGGGGATCCCTCGAAGCACAGTCATTTTGTTTCAGTTGAAGTTGTATGCTGGGGCGCTGCAACACTACGCGCAGTGTGGGGAAAGCCTAAAGACCTGAACCCTAAAGTCTGAGCCAGCACTTTGCAAGGTTGCACACGCCATGGCCTGCCGCTCTCCAAAGTCAAAATTTGGGCCTTGAGCCTCCCTCAAACCGGGAGCCAAACCTAGAAGCCCCAAACTATGCATGAACGGACGCCTCAGCGACAAAGCCGGAAGCCCAGGCCCCCTTTGCTTTAACAAACCCCACATAAAGCCTGAAACCCGCCAAACCTGCCAAACCCGCCTAGAAACTGCGGCTGCAGGCTCTGCTTCAGTTGGTCCGATTTGAGAACATGTCGCCGAGTGAGCTGCGCTCATCCGCAAAGTGCCTTGGCGACTCTTGCATGCGTCGGCATCGGGTTTAATAAGTGGAGGTTTACAAGCCCTAGACGTTAGGGACTTGGGCAGAGTGTGAGGGTCGTACCGTACTCAAGCCCTCAAGACACCCGAGCTGTAGATGGTTTACGTAGACAATAATCGAAACCTTCCCTAAACCCTAAACCCTAAAACCGAAGCCCTGAACCCTAAGCCCTAAACCCTAAACCCTTATGAATGTTGGGGCATGTTCCCAAGGCCAATTCTGCCGGCGGAGCGGTACGTGGAGCTACTTGAGGAGGCACGCTGGATGAGTAGGTGAGAGGCTTTGTTCCCAAGCTTTGAGAACCCTCAAGCGGTGTGTCCTTTAAACCCAAAACCCTGAAACCGAAGCCCTGAACCCTAAACCCTAAACCCTGCACCCTGAACCCCCAAGGTCAGTGGTGCCGCACCGGGTCGCTCAAAGCGCCCAGTCCGCGCTTCTTGGCATGACAGAGATCTGAGAGAAGCCTATATTGCCAGTTCTCTAGATCATGGTCCTCATTGTGAAGGGCCTTTATTGCAATTAGGACAATAAAATTTCGTGGCCTGTTACCTGAAAGGAGATGTACCTTGCAAGATGAGGATACTCTGGTTACTCCACAGGTACAGGGTGCAGACTTCGAGGGGTCCACAGCTTGGGCTATCAGCACGCAAACTTGAAACATAAGTTATAAGTCCCTTCACACAAAGTAGTTAGTATGGTAAGGGGGGGGGGGAGGGGGGAGGGGGGTCCTTCCGGCAGAACAGGGTAGCTTCAGTTTTGAAGACAGGGTCTCGGTCCTGAAGCTGATATATGGATGTTTGGGTTTACTGTTTTTTCAATGGCAGGGTCTTAGGCCGTTCAGACCACCAGCGGAAGACTGACAGAGTCGCGGCCATTTGTCGCATTCCTGAAGCACAAGTGATCACAAGTACCTCAACTTTCGCAATCGAATTTGGCAGTGTGGCAGCCTCGTGAACTTTTACTGAAATGTTGAGCTCAATCGATACAGAGTCTGAAAGATGTGAGGCTTCGGCAATTTGCCGCACCTATGTTGAGTGCCGAAGCTGTACACGCCCCGAGGTACTGTGAACCCATGTGGTCGCTTTAGGTGCCTCCCACCTAGAAAATAATCATATTTGTACAACCCTAAACCTGACACCTTTTCTAAACCCAAAAGCCCTACAACCCTCGAGCCCTAAGCCGCTCAAACCCTAAACCCTGAGCCCTGACCCCTGAACCCTGAACCCTGAACCCTAAACCCTAAACCCTAAACCCCAAACCCCAAACCCCAAACCCTAAACAACCCAAAACCCTAAACCCTGCACTGTAAAGCTCTGTAAAGAACCCACCTCCGCCCCCAAGGAGCGCCCCATGCGACCATTTCGATGCCACCTTTGTGGCAGGGGGACCCAGAGCTGGGGTAAAGAACTTAAAGTTTATAGGATAATTTATAGGGTAGCTTATAGGGTTTTGAGGGTTTCTGGGGTAATTTATAGGGTGGTTTATGGGCTTAAGGGGTTAGGGGCTTTAGAGGGATTAGAGGGATTAGAGGGATTAGAGGGATTAGAGGGATTAGAGGGATTAGAGGGATTAGAGGGATTAGAGGGATTAGAGGGATTAGAGGGATTAGAGGGATTAGAGGGTTCAGTATTCTGGGCTTGCAGTTGAGAACAGGGCATGCAAAGGTGAGCTTGCCTGGCACTTTGGGAGGGCTCCTTTAGAGCAGGTTCTATATCTATAGACAACTTTCATGCGGGCAACGTAGGGATTTTTTTTTTTTTTTTGGGGGGGGGGGGGGGGGGAGGGGGTTCTTGAGCAAATAGTAGTAGCGCATTCTTGGCCTGGGGCACAACCGGACCTTTCTGTCGTGTGCTGCCCGAGGCATCGAGGTCTTTGTTACAACGGAGTCGGGAGTGCCAGGCGCGAGCAGTCCGTCAAGGTTTTGAGGTTTAGAATTTAGAGCGGAAGATCATAGGACTCCATGTCCCACCACAACACAGATATTCCGGTGCAGAGCTTGCCGCGGAGCAGGCTGACACTCTAAACCCTAAACCAGCAGTGACACCTGACCTCGAGCCCTTTGAGACTTTCCATGAAAGGCTATGGGGTTGAGGACCCGGAAAGGCTTCCCAATCTCCACGGTCCCAAGAGCCCCGAACCTGCGAAGGTCCATGAACCATGAGCCGAGTTCTGCAGCCACAAGAAGGGTTCGGAGTGCGAACAGGTGACGCCGCAGGCGACGGCAGCGTGATCACAGCAAACGGGGGACCACTTCCTGAGCGACCCCGGCGCAGGTTATTAGGTTTCAGAGGGTCTTCAGTCGGTGATTGTTGCCAGGACCTTAAACACTCTACAAGTCTTGCTGGTTCTGCCAATCGCTCAAAATCGTCAGTTAGACCTGACCATCTTCTCAGTTACCTGTTTATCCGTCCTACTAGACTCTCCACCCACTCGCCGAAGCCGACCCTCCATGTTCATGTTCAAGGCTTGGGCTGAGAGAGCGCCGCAGCAGACATGGAAACCGAGTAGTTGTACCTGAAGAGGGGCATCTGTGCCCAATCATGATTTTGAGGGTTTAGGGCTTGGGTTTAGGGTGTTGGCATTGTCTGCCCGAAGGCTGTAGCTGCGTGGAACAGCTGTAAACCTGCTACCCAGTACAGGCGCAAAACTGAGACTCTAAAGACATCACAAATCAGTTTGGACATATTCTAACAACATGTGCATTCTTAGCAGCCTTAAGTCTGCAGGCATGCTCAGTCGTCTTTCTTCAGAAGATGCTGCAGATACAGGAAGGGAAAGTATGGTAGGGCCGAGGGTCAACAGCTAAGAGATGGGTTTGCAAGGAATCCGGGTGTGTTTGTTTGTTTTATTTGTTTTGTGTGTGTGTTTTTTTTTTGGGGGGGGGTTGGAAGTTGCATGCAGGTGCCGACGATACCACCCCGGCTTCACATGGAATGAGATCGCTTGTGCGCCGCTCAGAGGTCCCACTCACCCCGGGGCCATGTCCATCTGCTGCCTTGAGCTTTCTATCAACCTTGATGTATGTATGTACATCATTTACGCTACACACACGTGTAGGAACCTAAGCTCCCTCAACCCTAAGCCCCATCCGAGTCGGGACTTGCCCCGCTTGGGATGCCCATTTTTTTCAGGTTAGTGTAGATTCTGAATGACAAGGAGCTACACGTCTGTTTGTACGACGTATACTCGAAGGAAGCGACCTTTCTTAATCTAAAGCGAGCTTGTGCTTACACATGGCCCAGGTGCCGATCACAAAGGCAAGTGCCTGGTGCTCAGGCAATTGGGCTGCCAAGAGCTTCAAAACTGAAGCCCAAATCCCACACCCTAAATCCTACATGATTTGTGCTCGCTTTGGGGGCTTGCTTTGCAGAACAGTACCCTCCACGCTACAAACTGAAGCAGTAGCATGTTGGTCACGCCTGAGTTTTCTAAGTCGGGTCCTGTCCTGTGGTGTGTTCAGTGCCGTACTGTATGAGGCCGAAGAAGCAGGATATCTGTGCTAACAAGCGACTCCATGAAGTTCAGAATTTTCATGACCTCAGCCCGCGAACACGGGTTTAACCATCAAAGCCATGATTACACGTATGTCCCACTCGGGTTGAGTGGGACAACAACTACAAGTTGCGACTCCCGCAGATGCTCAAGCCGGCCAATGATAGTTGATAGGTGCGATGGAGCCGTGGTGGGAAGAGCTCACCTCGGCAGCTCAGCCTCCTGCAAGGTATGAGCACAGAGCAGTGGAAGTTAATGGGACAATGGTGATCTTCGGAGGAAACTCAGGGTCAGAAACGCGTGCAAGCAATGACGTCTGGCAACTCAACCTGCAAAGTGGGACGCTCCAGACCTGGGAGGACCTGGCAACATCTGGGCCGCAGCCCCCCGCAAGAAGCGGCCATTCGGCTGTGATGGTTGCTAGCAACTTGCTTGTCTTCGGCGGCGCGCAGTATGTCTCCGGAAATTGGGCAAGATTTAGCGATGTGTGGAAGCTGGCAATTAACCACAATGGAGGCTCACACTCATGGTCTCAGCTTTCCGCTTCCTCGCCGCGCCCGGCAGCAAGAGCAGGTCATACCGCGGTGAGCTTATCCGATAATACCATGGTCATTTTCGGCGGTTATGATGGCAGTAGCTATGTGTCAGACGTCTGGCGGTTCCAAGTGGACGACGGAAGTGCGGGCTTTTGGGAAAGCCTCGCCACCAATGCAGGCCCCCAGGCAAGGAGTGGTCACAGCGCTGTCAAACTTCTCGACAGCTCAATGCTGATCTTTGGAGGAGGGGGCAGCGGAAGCGTTCTTAGCGACCTGTGGTCGCTGAGCCTGAGCCAAAGCGGCCTGCACATCTGGCAAGAGCTGACTGCTTCTGGCCCTTGGCCCAGTCCGAGGAGAGATCATGCTGTAACAATCATGGGAGATGGGAGCATGCTCTTGTTTGGAGGATACAATCATTTCAATGCGGCCGGTGCACGATATTTAGATGACGCCTGGCGACTGTCCGTGAGCGGAGGTTCACCTTTTTGGACCGAGCTGCTGATTTCCTCGGTGGGCCCTGGGCCGAGGGGGTACGCCTGGGCTGTCAGCGCGGGAGATGGAACCATGGTTCTGTTTGGTGGATGGGATAGCAGCAACAGATTCAGTGATACCTGGCGCCTGCACGGATCCCTGCCGAGCACCAGCACCGCTACGATCACCCTCACGACGGCGACGACGACAATGTGCTGTGCCCAAGCGGAGTTCTGGAACGGCACTGGGTGCGAAGCCTGCATTCCTGGGCACAACAGTCTGGTATGCTCCAGCTTTTGTGCCCCAACGCTGGCACTGGTGGTCTCAACGATGGGGGCTCCCAGCTTGGAGGTGACCATGGATGGTTTCGGTCGCGTCTCCTTGTTCTTGACCATGTCCTCCTTGCCCGAGAACATCTATGAGGCCACAGTGCGCTTCGCCATCGACGTGGCTGAAAACTCCTCCTTACTCAGCTGGACACCTGGCGCCTGTGATGGCGAGTGGGAGCGGAACAGCAACCACTTCCGTCTTCTCACGACATACTCTGACCTTGATGGCCCTTGCAAGCTCGACGAAACCATGAACGAGAGCACACTCGTGCGATCTGGTGTCTTGGGCGCCTTCATGCTGGCCTTATCTTCGGGGGGGGGGGGGGGAAGTGGTTGTTGCACAGTGGAACATCCCCCTACAACTTGACTTCCCGCGAGAAGTTGTCGGCGTCTTCAGCAAGCTGACAGCCATTGAGCCCAAGGAAGTCCAAGGAATGCAGGTGCACCTGGGACCGTTCAGGTCCACGCTGAAGCTCTTCAGAACAGCCGAGTTCCAGGCTGAACGAGCCATTGCCGTTTTCCAGGCGACGGAACTTGCATTTGTTGAGCAACACCTCATGGGAGACAGCCTCAACTTCTCGTTCCTTGGAGCCTGGCTCTCCAACTCCTCAGCTCCTGAAGCCCCCGCCATCCACACGCTGGACGCAGTGGCCTTGCAGGAAGGGCCCGGAGTGGTTCGCATCAGGACCCAGTTGAGGGTTTGCCCAGACTCTTAGGAGAATGAGTACCCTTTTACACTTTTTGGGATACTAGATTTATATAGGACTGAAAGTGTACACCTTTTTGGGGGGCCTTATGAAGTCAGCAACTAAGGATTGCTATTTGCACCTGCTCAGCAAGGTCGAGATGAAAGGAAGGCGGCTAGTGGAAGAACATTACTCCGCGGACTACATTGCAGTTCAAGTGCTCCCTCCTCAGGATGCTCGGTTAGGTTTAGCCCAGGTTTCACTTTCAAGATTTGAGGGTTTCCGAAACTAGGGTGCCTTTATTTTGGGTCCTGATGATAAGGGAGTCCTGCTATTTCGGGGTTTCGAGTAGGGGTCCCTTGTTTTCGTAAACCCCCATTTGAATGGGAATAGGCCTTCAGGTTGATGCCAGTTGTTGAGACCGAGCTCCAGTGAGCCTTCCGATGTCACAGAGAATGTAGCATGACCTCAACACTCTTTGAGCGTTAAAGTCTCCAGATGTTCAGTGAGGTGAGCGTTCATTCGATTCTGTATCTAAGGACTCCGAGGTGATCGGCGACGCCCAGACGCCATTCATTCCGATTCTGGTCATCGTTGTGGGGTTCTTCTTGTGCATCCTGGGTTTCGGCTTCTGTGTGCTCCGCCGCAAGAGGAAGCGCCCCTTCTCCTACATGGAGATTCTGCCTGCCTTTCGCCTGGGTCGAAGTGACCTGGAGGCAGCCGGTGCGGCTGCTGGCAGCCATCCAGCTCCTCCAGCTGCCCCTCTTCCTCCAGGCGGCGTCGCTCAGACCGCCTCCACGGCTTCACTACAGCTTGAGGTGCACCAGGAGATCCGCGCCAGCATGCAGGAGCTCTTGGACATGGCTCCCCCAGATCAGCTGGGGAAGGGCCGCGATGCCACCGCCAGGGCGGGGTACAACAGGCTTCGGCTCCAGGATGTTTGGCGCATCAGCTCCTAGGCCGGCCCTTGGGATCTTTGTGATGTTCTTCCCTTATTGGGCAAAGAGAGGATCTTCTTCAGGTCGGAGGGTTTTTAAGGGCCAATCCATACTTGTAGGTTGTGAAAAGACCAGCCGAGGTTGCGGCCTTCATGAGACGAGCTTTGCAAACGAACGGAGCAAGAATCATGGCCGGAATCTATTTGCCTACACTTCCGTAGCTAGAAGAGCCCATAAAGCTCTGGGAAAATTGGGTCCCAGGTAGCAACTACCCCTTCATCAAGAAGTAGAACCCATAAAACTCTAGGCAAGCTGTGTTCCCAGGTCGACTCTCATCCATTTGTTGTTTTGTGTCAGCCTCGCCATCTTGGTGCCAATGTTCGAGGTATTTTGGGATGTTCCGCCTTATCCCAAGCGTCCTTAATAGGGATTCTAATCGGGGGGGGGGGGGGGGGGGGGGGGGGGTACGATAATCTCCTATCAAGGACTCTTAGTATAAGGGGGAGCATCTCAAGATGTATTTGCTAAGGATACAGATGGCACCGGCCTGTCTGGGAGCACTTGGAGGTCGATTTCCGATGGTGGAAGTGGAGCTGGACGCCGCAATGAAGAACCTCAAGGAGTGGGATGTTCACTCCTTATGCTAAGAGTCCTTAGAGTAGATCTTAACAGGGATTCTGAATAGGGGGTACTATAATCCCCATTAAGGACTGTTAGTGTACGGGGGAACATCCCAACTCAAGGACATGATCGGCACCGACCCTGCCATCAACGAGACCATTCTCCTCCACGGCACAAATGCTAAAACACTACAAATGATTCTCCATGAAGGGCAACCCGACCTTTTCTTGGACCCGCGCTTCACCAGGGTTGACATGTTTGGCCGAGGAGTCTATTTTGCAGAAAATGTTTGCAAAACAGACCAGTACGCCACTCCTGGATTGGCGCCCCAACAAGATCACAAACTCACGAAGCTTCTGTACAGCAAGTTCGGCAAGGCAGCTTCCAGCAAGGAGATCCACTTCGTCTTTGTCTGCAGGGTGATCTTGGGGCTGGCAGCTTTCACACAAGAGGCGAAGCTGGGTTTTGGAGTATTATACTTTAATGTTTTTGTGTTCTGGGTTCCTAATATTGAGTACTATATACTTAATATACTTTAATATTTTTTCCAGGATCTACTCCAAAGCTAAGGAAGCCGTGTCCAGCAATGGCTGGCAAGGAGGAGACAAGCCTTGCAAAGACCGGCACGAATCTCTTGGAGCAACCATATGCGCAACTGGTGACAGTCCCCAACACCGACCCTCCTTTTAGATACCATTCCTTGGTGGCAGAGACTGGTGGCGCTATCGCGCGATTTCGAGAGTTTCTTGGTTGCAGAAGTAGGGGCCGCATGTTTTTCGTTTCGTGCCTGAGGTACATCAGTGTCAAGGGCGGTTTTGCATGTTCATCAATCGCTTCCAAGGTTCGTGGTCTTCGAAAAGAATGCGGTGTTGCCAATATTCCTTGTGGCCTATACACGCGAGGCTGAGTGAAACCTGCGTTTTCAGAAGCAGTGTGGAGCACTGCTTGCAAGCCATCGAAGATGGTCCTGCGTGCTTTTTTGCGGGTGTCGGTTCTGCCCTGCTGTGGGTGGCCTTGCTTAAAAACCCTGCTCTTGCGCAAAGGCCCTGCTGTGGGTGGCCTTGCTTAAAAACCCTGCTCTTGCGCAAAGTCCCGTCGCGCAAGCACCTTGAGCTGTATGTACAGAGACCCTCTATCAAAGCCGAAAAGCACTGCACCGTTCTCTCATGAGTCTGCTGCCGCTGTCTACTGCCTGGCTGCCTGGCTGTGTCGCAGAGACCCACATACCCCGAGTGAGTATGCCTGAAGCCGAGGTGCGACGTGCAAGCGCTGCAACAGCGCACGCTGGACCTGCTGCACCTTGAGCCAACTTCGAGGGATCCATATGGGAGTTTACGAAAAGAAGGGACCCCAAAAATAGACCCCAATGAGTAGGATCACCCCAATAAGGCCCCCCTAACTTTGGAACCTCCATATGGGCAGGGTTGAATAAGGGCTGAAGGTTTTTGATTTCTAGGGTGAACCGAGGAACTGTTGGGCTATGCAAGATAGAAGCCTGCCCAGCATCGCCTGACACATCAGATGTTCGTTCTACTTGGCCTAACTTGTTTTAAGGCTATGGGACACTGTACCTGGCTACCTATAGGGGATTCTGATATACTACTCCAAAAAGGTGCTACATTGGAGCCTCTAGGTATGAATCAGGGTTTATTTTACTGTCTTGGTGAGCATATGTAAGGCTCCTTTCTTAATATTGGTGAGTGTATATGCTGGTTGTCCTTTTGGGGGTACAAGAAATATAAACCCGGCTTCATACTTGGGGGTTCATGGTACCTATTAACCAAATACAACTGTACTTATAACCCACTTTTAAGCCCCGTATGTGTATAAGTAGAGTTATTTAAGTACAGCTACAATTGGTTAATAAGTACCATGAACCTCCAAGCATGAATTGCAACCATATGGGGCATGGCAGGACCCTAAACCCCTAAACCCTAAACCTTGAACCCTAAGCCCTACACCCTAAGAGTTGCAGCCATATGGGGCATGGCAGGTCAGATGGCGGAGGGATCGATTGGTTGCCGGCGCCGCCCACACGAGTGGCACGAGGCGCTCTGGGTCCAACAGCTGAGGGGAATTTCAGGGTTTAGGGTTTGGGGTTTATCAGGGCTTAATGGTTTAGAGTTTGGGGTTTGTAAGGTTAGTTTAGGGTTTAGGGTTTGTAAGGTCTAGGGCTGAGGGTTTAGGGTTTCATGGCTTTGCCCGCGAACCTTTGTAAGACCTCGGACTCATATTTCCGGATGAGACGTGTATGTGGCATATTGCTGGGTTTTGGAGTACTGTACGTTAATACTTTTTTTGGTTCTAGGTTCCCGTTATAGCTACTTATACCTAACAAGGGTATACGTTTTTCTAGGGTCTATTCCAAAGTTTCGGGATTGGCTTATACTGCGCCTTAGTGAAGATCAATGGTGCTCTTTGCATACCTGGTGTATCCGTTTGTATATCAAGACGTAGACACGCGCCACTTTGTTACGGAGACGTTGGCTGGACCGGTACCTTTTACCCTTTTTGTTGGTTATGGGTTCCCTTATAAAGTAGCCAACCCAAAAAGGGTGCCCTTATTGTAATATGGTTACTGGGCTACTAAGAAGCACAATAGCGTCACTCCGTTACATAGACGTTGGCTTGGCTTGAACTATGCTGCTCCACAGTGACAAGGAGTTCTTTCTGCTTGACTTTTATATTACCAATTGAAGTTTCAGCGAGTTCACAGTCAACAAGGCCTTGAAACATGTCCCTAGACAGGTGCGGCGTTTTTTTGATCTTTAAATTGGTGAGTTTAGTCCAGGCTATGCCGTAGCATCGGACCTGCGCTTCTTGGACGGTGGTTTCGTTTCACGGAAGGTGTATTGTTTTGAAGGAAACGGAGGCTACCACGCGATGACTACAGTGCCAAGTGCCAAGTGCCATGTCCCAAACCCTCTTATGCCCATCCCCTTTCCGCAAAAGCACAGGTGGGTGGCAGCCAAGGATGGTGGAACGCAGCTGTGGGCTCGAAACGTCCACGTGCGCCGATCCTGGGGAAAGGGAGGGGAGGGGGGGAGGGCATCAGCCTTTGACTTTTCAGGGGCTTGCTTGCAGGCTTATGGGCAGATAGAAGCCCGAGCTATGTCTGGTTGCAACCTCATTTGAGCCCGAAACGAAGGAGCTTTCAAGTATACGGGGTACGGATGAGGCTGTAATTCTGAGGGCTCATAGCATGGCTTCCTGCCCATGTTTAACATGAGAAATGCCACAGCCGCTATTGTCCGTCTCTGCCTGATCCTGCCAGCGCGACTCCAGCTGCTAGACATACTGTATACATTTCCGTATATTCCCAGAAGCCCTTATAGCCAACATTTCGGCTTCCTGTGTTGCCCGAGAGGGTCGGCCGGGTGTGCATTCTGGCCATGTCTGGCAGGCTTGTCCAAGTGACGATTGGGGCCGGCTCCGGCCCTGCCGACGTGAGTGGGCAGTTCGTTTAAGTAGTTGCGCTTGAGACTTGAGAGCATGGGAGCATGGGGGTCGGAAGACACTAAACCCTAAGCCCTACGCCCCGCCGGCCCCGATGTGTCTCAGAGCCTCAGCTGCTGCGTGTGAGAAAGTGTTGGCCTTTGCACCCTTGCGATATCCATTGAGGTGTTGAGGGTAGAACTGAAAGCATGCCCTGGACCTTGAATAATGTTGTCAGCATCCTTATGAAAGTGTGGGCCAGAACAGAGGACGTGAAGATGTTGAGGTTCGCTGCGGTAATAAGTAGGGTATTACTGCCCCAGGTCAGGTTGCACCAGTTCTAGGTTATATAGTTAAACAGTTATACTGTTGATGATCAAAATCCTGGATCCTACATCAGCAAATTCACTCCAAGCATCCACGCAGCATTGAAACTTAGTGGCATGCGTGGGAGTTGCACCTGTTGTTTCCTACGGGGAGGGGCATGCAGGGTTCTATCATCCAGCCGAAGGTTACCCTGCTTGTAGGTTCCAGCTACCCGCGAACCTCCAAGTCCCAAGCGATCTTCCGAGTTGGGTCGGCGCCGCCACATCCCCACCCGCCTTCTCACAAGATCCCAAAGTCATAGATATAGGCCCCGAAAAAGGGGCCGCAGCCCCTCCCTGTTCTTATGAAAGTCCTGTTCGCAGACTGGCATCCAGAAAGTGCCCAACGAGGAGTACTACGCCTTTTGGCGGCAAGAGTTGTCGGCTCGAGCTGCGCAAAGATCCTGGGAGAAGGCACAGTGAACCAGTCCCCTATCTACCTAGCCCTAAACCCTAAACCCTAAACCCTAAACCCTAAACCCTAAACCCTAAACCCTAAACCCTAAACCCTAAACCCTAGACAACCCTAGACCCTAAGAAGTCTGAACCTTCAAATTGAGGCTGGGAAGTGGATCGTCCACTTGGACTGCTTCGCCTGGGTCCAGCGGGACTCGTACAGGGCCAAGACTGCGCTTTATCTGGCTGGTTTAGGGTTTAGGGTTTAGGGTATTTAGGGTTTAGGGTTTAGGGTTTAGGGTTTAGGGTTTGGGGTTTAGGGGTTAGGGGTTAGGGTTTAGGGTTTAGGGTTTAGGGTTTAGGGTTTAGGGTTTAGGGTTTAGGGTTTAGGGTTCAGGGTTTAGGGTTTAGGGTTTAGGGTTTAGGGTTTAGGGTTTAGGGTTTAGTTCTTAGTAGGGAATGAGGGAATGAGGTACCCCATAGAATCCCTTACAGGGCATAGATAGGGCCCGAATTCCCTCATTCCCTACGAGAACCAGGGGCCTATTCTCTAGGTCGGTTGGGGGTCATATTAGGGTTGCAGTCTAGCAGGTTTCCAATAAAGGTTTACGATTTTAGGATCAGGGTTTGATTAGCATGTTGACTTTCGGCGTCAGTGAGGCGATTCCTGGTTCTTGCATTGCCAGCACCCTCGTCTGTTTCAAGCAAGTTTGTTTCTCCGTATCCCACGCTTTCGCTTAAACTTCCTGAGGCCTCTGGCACAGCTATCATGCATCCGACATACCCACACGCAAGAGGTCCATCCATACTCCACGTCACACCGCCTGCACTGATGTGCCGGCACTTCTTTGTCATCATCCCACTTGCCCCCTGCCCTCTGCTGCAACTGGATGTACGCGAACCCTAAGATGGGTCACGCATACGAAAAACTCATCCGTAAACAGTCCCTGAACGACGGTAGTATAGTGAGGGGAACCTTCCCTGCAAGGGCCAAGTTCCGAAGTCCCGAAGTGTAAATGAGGGCCCCTGTTTTGGTCCCCGAAACTATCAGGAAGAACATTGTAATAGGTGTCCCTAAAATTGGACCCGAAACAACAACACCCAACACCCCCCAAATCCGCAAAGGTATCTTCCCTGCGGCGCGCGGGGTCTGAAAGCAGTCACGACTGCCTGGCATGCTTGTTTAAGATCTGGAGTATATTGGACTTGGAAAATGCGGGCTCAAGGTTTCAAGCCTGAGTTCGGCCTTAGGTTTTTTGTGATTGTCGCGGTGGGTTTTGTTCTTGTCATGCTAACCGCGAAAGCCAGCCATCTACAGCTCTCCAATTCTAAACTACTATCTACCCTAAACCCCTAAACCACCAAAAGCCCCCCCCATCACCATCACGTGGCATTTTCGGTGTCTCGACCTTGAGTTGAACGCCAAATCCTGGCCTGATTTGAACCCTATCCCAGACCCTATGCCCAGCAACCCCCCTGAAGCGGGGGGGGGGTGGTTCGTCTACATCATCTCAATGAAAGTATGTTCCTTCTAGCTTTAGGTAAGGTACCAAGATGGACCGAGAGTTCGTATCCATACATATCCAGGTGAGTGGTTTTTGAAATTCCTTTTTCCAAGTAAATGCCCACTTATAGGTAACCTGAATCTCACAAATAAAATAAGGCACTTTCTGCCAAGTTGTGGGTTCATGATACACTTGCAAATGGGGGTTTGA